ACTTTTCGCTGCCGAGATTGCCTTGAATCCATCTTTCAAGGGTTCTGGTTCTAGGTAGTATAGCGGTGCTGGGATCGGTCCTATTATTCTGGCAGGGATCTGGGCAGAGTGGAACGCTCTCACCGTGAACGTCTCTGCAACTCGCATCGTCGTTATTTGCTGTTTACGGCAGACCATACTAATAATTATATTCTTCCCGCCCTCGGCACGGAGGGCCAGCTGTTGGTTTTGCAGGTTAACGACTGCATTGTAGAAATCCAAAAAGTCGTTACCTAGTATGATTCGAGAGTCCTGAGCAGGATTCATGTACAGCTTCGTGGGGAGAATATGGTTCTGTCCCTTTAGATCCGTAAAAGTGAGATTGAGAGAGACGTACGAAGTGATAAAGCTGTTACCGGAAACGCCATGTAGTTCTATAAGCGGGCATTGTTGTCTCACTGCCTGCGGTAGAAACTTCTGGAGTATCGAACGATCAATCAGCGAAATTGACGATCCTGTGTCTACCAGAGCTCGAAAAGCCCTGTCAGAGTTAGACCCATCGATCGCAACCTGTATAAAAGCTGGTGTCTTACTCATAAAGGCGGAAGCGTCCGGCCCTGTGTCTTCATTTCCGTTTACGACTTCTGGAAGAATTTGTTTATGAGTTGTCTTCTTCTGATCTGATAAGGTGCGCTTTGTCGGCGGCTTCTTCCTCAGAACTCTCCTTTTGGGAGTAGTGCCTTGTATAGGAATGCTAGTGTTGAGCGACTGACCTGCTGAGGAATCCGTGACGTCGCGAACCATTCGTCGAGTCATGATGGCGTTTGTATCGGCCACTAGGTACGCATTTGCCGAAAGGCTCGTAGCGTCCCCTTCTTCCTCTGAATCATACTGATCGTATGATGTTTCCGCTTCGTCTTCTGGTTGCTCGTCTTCGGTGAGTGCCAGTTCTTCAGTGTCTCTTCCATCAGACTCCTTGGGTTCCACTGTGTTAGTCTTCGCACGCCAGTTCTGGTTCGGTTTCGAATTTATTGGCGTGTTCCGCTTCCACTGGTTTTGATTCGAATTCGTTGTATTTTGGATGAACCCGGTACGAGGAGTTGGTCTCTGACTGTTGTTATCAGATGGGTTAGACGGTCGATACCCAGAGGTAGGGTTATAATTCGTGCCTTTCGATTGAGACGTACTGGTATTGTTATTGGACCAGTCGCGATCGCGATTCTGCCATCGTGGTTGGTTCGTATTCCCGTTGTTTGTATTGTTCTGGGAGTAGTTACCCCCTCTTGAAGGCTGGTTCCTTGGTCTCCAAGGACCTGAAGAGATTGCGTTGTTTGTATGAGCGGAACTGTTATTCGGCGGATTAGATCGGAATTGTCCATATTGCGCCAACAATCCCAGCTCCATGTCCATTACGTACCGTTTGAAATCGGCCAAAGAGATCGCCGGATTAGCGTTGTATCCCGTACCCGCTTTGATGAGCGCATGCATGCTCTGCGGTATGCCGAGCAGAAGGTCACTGATTAATGTTTGACTGGTCGCTGACTCACCTAATACAGCGTTCTGCAACCTCCGTCGGTCAGTGTAATATTGGGAGAATGTTTCGCCCTTGTGCCAGCGACGCATGCGAAGCTGTTCCGCCATGCTAACGTCGTAGTTGGCCTTCCGGAACTCTCGGCGTAATATCGCTTGCCAATCTGACCAGCTTGTGAGTTGAGCTAGGTCAGTCTGCGATAGTGTGTTAAACCACTTAAACGCCGAACCTCGTAATATTAGAGGCAGACAACGTAAGATTACGTTGTCATCGACACCTGTATAGCGAGCAATGTTAGAAATCTGACCAATCCAATCGTCAATATCATCACCATCATTGGCGAAGAACTTCGGCAGGTCACTATGCTTCAGTTTGTTTTTTTCATTGTTCGAACTACTTGTACCGGATAGCGCGGTGTATGGGTTCGTAGGAGCGTATGAATACGGTACATAGCCAGAGGGTACTGACTGCGGCATAGTATACATCCCCGATGTCGGCACGTGGGCCGCCTGTGGTATACCGCCAGCCAGAGCGCCGGAGATCGAAGACGGGAACGGTGCTGGAGGACCCTGCCGTGACGTTTGCGGTTGTGGTGGCGATGGAGGTGGCGGCGATGGAGGCGGTGGCACCGGCTGTTGCGAGCGAAGATGGTGGAAGTGGGGCGGTTCGTGATATCGCGCTGACAGGGGTGAGTCAGCCGTGAGCGGCGATGCAAAAGAAACGTGTGGCGCATGCTGCGTCGGGGGTGCCTGCGGTTGCGTATAGGACTGCTGTATGGCTGTAAGAAGTTCGGAACGTACCAATGCGACAGCTTCGGTCAGGTCATCACGCAATTCTGACATACATGCGCTGATCTCCTGGGCCATCGAGGACCGTGTCGGAAGGTTGACGCAGATGTCTGACAACCTGTAGATATCGCGTCTGATAACGTCCGTGTTCTCGGTACAGTTGCACTTACAGAGGCATCCCGGCACCTCCTGCGCTGGATCGGCTTGCGTCCCCGCATGGCCTGGCCGAGGCGAAGGCGGGGTGTGCCCTGCACCTCGTGTGGTCGTTGAGAACGTGGCTGATGCGCCTGTTGCATCACCCTCGTGTGATGTACTGTGTCGACGGGACGAGCGAGAATTGTTGTCGTTCCGTAGGTCGTCCACGGCGTGCTGTATGTCGTCCAGGCGGCAGCGTATCTCGTGATGATCGGAACCAAGCTCCTCGGAGTGTCGAGTCTCGGAGTCGAGCGCGCGCTGGACGTGCTCGGCGATCGACGAGTGATGCTGTGCCGTCTGGTCAGCAAGGGATTCTAGTTGCGAAAGAATGGCATGAGTGTTCTTAAAAACATACGCGATATCGCGTTTAGTCGCAGTGGCTACCTCGTTAAAGACGTTTGTCGTCTCTAAAGCGAGACGCTGGCCGCCAACCAAGTGGTGTAGCGTCTCACGCAGCGACGCGTCCTCGGGAAGACGGCGCAGGTCGTGCGCAAAGGTGGGCGAAGGTAACCGTGCGGCGCGGTCAGAGGACGAGATACTCACCGAGGAGATGTTGGCATCCAGCGACGAGGGAGTGGCTGACTCGTCAGACGTCCTCGTGTCGGTTTGGGTGTATGCGTCAACCATCTCAGGGAGCTCGTCGTCGGACCCGAGAGAGGACGCGTGTGGCGCGCCCGGGGGTGGTGCGGTGTGTGGGCCAGATCGGAGCGCAGGCATGATCTGGCCATGGGCAGTGGAGGCAGAGTCTATGGAAGACATGCCGGTTGCGAAAGGGGTGAACAAAGGGTGTTCGTAGAGTGGGTAGCGTGAGGGGAGTGGCGGCCGCGAGGTGAGTGGGTACACCGAGTGGTACTTGAACAAGGAGTGTCAAGTGGAAGGTGCCGTCGGGGACAGCGGAGTCGACGTCGGAAGGGGGAAAGAGCGTGGTTTGAGGAGACTGAATGTCCACCAAATTGTAACAAGACGAGTTACCGGACTTGCTACTGGGAGGGGTTCGGTCACTCAAGGTACGCTCACGTGACGGGTGATCAGTCCGTCTGGTTAGGTTCGGTAGAACGGGTGTGTATTACCAACTACGTTAACGTAACGAGAGGTAGTACAAGGGAAGCGCGCGAGAGAGGTAGAGAGAGAGAGAGTAGAGAGAGGAGAGAGGGAGAGACGTTTGGCCAGCAAAGCGTGTCGAACCTCGAGAACTCTTCATCCTTATATACTCGTATAAGGATCGCCTTAACGCCCGGCACAGCCCTTACGAGGCGATGCCTTTCAGCTACTAGACGAACGTCGTAAGTTCCAGCGGGTTCTCTACGGTTCGAGATGAATGTAGAATATACATTCATGTACTATATTATAATACACATACTGAGTCGTTACATCCACGGGCCAGCCTGAATGTGTAGCGAACACAATATATCGACGCGGGGGCTATCGAGGCACGCGGCGTGCATTAAGACGTATAGATACCTGCTGCTGCCGTTATATCTTGGCTATGTATGCCACTGGGCTTCCAGTCAGTGTGATCAGTTGGCTGATAATGACAATGGAGAACGTGCTCTCATGAGCCTGTCCTCATGACTGCAGTGCCGAACGTTCGAACGTGAGGCCGTGGGGAGTCATCTTCTGCGTTCGTAGTATGTCATCAAAAATCCGCTGAGAAAGGTGAGCTGTCGCATCCATCTCGAACACAGTCACGAAAGGGAGACGAACCATGCTGTGATCCTTTCACTGGAACCCGACACGATACTTCGGATGGTCGCGCCTGATGTTGACTGCGCCTTCAATCCAACTCCAACCACGTCGTCGCCTTATCATCTTGACTGGAAGGTAGTACTGCTCCATCACGAACGACATTGTCGGACCGACGCTTCGATGCCACAGCAGACAAGACAGACATTGACATGCCTATTCTCCTAGCATTCCCTCCGAGTGTCACAAGTGCAGGCAAGACTGAGCAACTCAGTAATGGTCGACCAGTGGTGGCAAGGTGGCACGCGTCGTGCACTCCGAATCGTGACCGCGGCGCCGGTGGTGGCGTTCGTACCCAATAAGGCAAGTCAATACATTTCTCCGGCGGAGCGGCGGGCGCTAAATGTGCCCCACCTACTCCCATCTTCTGTGCGCAGGCCCGCTGTGCATGACAATTCGCGAATGTGCAGGCCATGATTGGACCAACGTCGACAAGAATACAGATTCACGCAACGAACAGAGGCTCACCTATAGCTACGTACTTGCAGTCATTGCGGCGCGCATCACAAGTCTTCCTTCATTCACGCTGTAAGTCGTTGAGAGACCCTCAGGCTAGGCTGGATCCTTCGTCCGACCGCTATAGTATCGGGACGCCACTTCGTTTCACACAGCAAGCTTCAGGCGTCATAGCTGTAGGAGAACATGCATAGTGCCAAGGTCGGTGGACAACACAGCTAAAGTTATGATACAACGGGACACAGACGGCGGATCATGGATGCGATATAATTACAGGATGCATGCGGTCAACAACGTCTTCTCACAATTCACTTTGCCGGTGTTGTTGTCGATGTGAACTTGGTGGTGACTTCATCCACTTCCACCGACTTCCCGTCCCCAGCCCCGCCCAACGGACCGCTAACCTCGTCGCGCTCATACACAGCGTGAACATTCTCGCCGTGCGCCATATGCGACGTGTCCGTACCTTTCTCGAGGGCTTGCTCTGGCGGGTTCGGGTCTGGGGACTCTTCCTCATGGTAGCGGCGCTTGATACGGGTGGCCGTCTTGTGCTGCATGGTTGCAACATCGCCGTCATCGGGCGACTGGTCGGCCTACAGGAACGTCAGCGACGAGATCATGCGGTTGTGTGCGCATATACTGACCTTGACGGCAGCCTCTGACGCACTACCGAGGTACTCATTCCACCCTGGCGCGCTCTCATCATGGGGCGCAGAGCTCCGGTGTTGCTTTCCGGTCAAGTTACGCTTCTTCTCTGTGTCAAGAGTCTACACGCCATCCGTCAGGTACAGCCATCAGCGGTGATAACCACGAGAACTCACGTCGGCGTTGTGATCGTGCATGCTGCTCGAATAATAGCGCGGCGCGACGGCCATGCCAGGCTTGGGGACGGTGGGGACGCGCCTGGCGGCGGCGCGCACGGCGTTGAACATGATGGCGGACATTATGGGAGTTGTACGAGTGGGAGAGAAACGAGTGCGAAATATGAGAGCGGTGATTCGTCTAAGTCGTCGTTGGAGGAGAAGGCTTGTGCTGCATCCGCTGGGCGGGCGGGCACTAAAAGGCAGGTGGGGAAGGTCATGACGTTTCGTGACGTCACCCCGCCCCGCCCGCTTCTCGCAGCCATCAGCCACCCTCGCTCCCGTCACCCGTGGCGGCGCCCGTGCTTGCTTCCCCCAGCACCACTTGCTATCTTTGGCGCGCGTTGCGTCGCTCGTGGTGGCTCGCATTTGTGACGGGGTGCCCGGTTCGCGTTCACCCGAGGCCAGGGCAGACTTGGTGCAGACGGCGGCATTCTGGACGATTAAACTTGGAACGAACACGGTCGGCCGAGGCGCAAAGGAGCCCCCAGGTGGCACTCTAGTACCTGCCCGTGCCAGTCCCATGATAACGGTCGGGGACCTTGACAGGGGTGTGGGCGGCCGAGTCCTGCAGTCTGAGGCTAAAGTCGGAAGATGACTGAGCCCAAACCCTCGGACTACACGCCCATTTGTGGGAGAGGCCTCGGTCACCCGAGACCGGGGATGCTGCGGGGTCAGCGTTCGGACACCGGCGTGGCGCCCGTGAGACCTGAGGAGGCGCAGAATACGCCTATCCCGGGAGAGGCTCCTCAGTCACCTCTGAGGCGGACATGGCCGTCTCAGATCATGTAGGGGTGAGACCGAGTACCCTAGCCACCTGTCCATCGGGGCAACATGACACTACCGCTCCAGGTGATCTGCCTAACATCTCGACACCCAGATGATATCTGCGGATAGCCTAGTCCGAGCTGAACAGAACATGGTGAATGGGTGAGTGAAGGCCCTACACCGGCTTGGGGTCATCGGTGTAGAGCATCCTGTAATACGATGCTTTGGTAGCTCGGGCTATTGATCGCACATTGTTGCGCGCAATAAAATCACGTATAATCAACTATTATTGTCGGTACCACGACAATGGTGTAAGCAAATTACAAACTCGAGCGATGTACTATGAACAGGTGATTAAACGAGTGTAGAGAGTATGACGGATTATGAAAGAGATAGCGGAGCCATAGCAATTGAGAGCAGCATTACGAAAGCGATAGCACGGACTTGCAATGGACAATGAATGAGCAGCCTATTCCTCACGAAGATCATGAGCAAAGTTGTCGGCTGCGTCGTCCGCCAAGGCTTGAAGCTGAGACGGCGCAGACGTTGCATCCTGTCCACGGGCATCCGGCAAGGATGGCGAACCAAACTCTTTCATGTCCGCATTCAGTATAGCCATGAAGACTCTGAGATTAACAGTCAGACACGTAGAATGGGAGACAATTCGCTGAATGTACTTTGTTATCATGCGGGCGTCAGTAGCCTGAGGATATTTGGTGCGGATGGTCTCAAGATGTGTATCCACACGATCCCAGTATTGATTGATGTTGAATGTAGGTATGGACAGAACCTCGATCAGCACCTGCCGCTGTCGAAACTGTCAGTACCTGACGCGCGGCGAACAAAGATGAGAGTGTAAGTCGCACCAACAGAGCTACACGAGCACACAGCTCTAAAGTCACTTGAACTCGAGTACCTGCAAGATGCGCAGCGATGCTCTCGCACAACGTCATGATGTCAACGCGCGCAGCAGCGGCCCGGCTCTTGGCAGTCGCACTAGCAGATAGCATCTCCGGTCCGAGGCTGAGCCACACCTGTATTCAACTAGTTCAGTATGTGGATAGTTGGCGCAATGATAGCCTTCGGAGTCGAATGATACAGTAAGTGGCTGGCTCGGCACTCACCATACTCTTCAACTCTGCACGCCGGTCGGTCAAGCGGTCTGTTATACGCTTCAGTACGATCAGATTCTTGTGTGTGTTGTTGCGAATTTCAGTCGTATAGCCCCAATGTGTATGACGGTCGAATAACGTCTGTATTTGCGTTCGTCACCAGCATGATATACGCAGGATGTATTATATCACACATACCTTGATGCACTTGTTCGGTGTTGAGTGCCTGACATACGCCGGTAACAGCGGTGAGACGATCACTAAATAGCTGTACACCTCAATCTTGTCCTGTTCAATGTCAACGATCAGCTGCCTTGAGATTGAAGATAACGATTCGGACATGCCTTCACCCCCTCGGCAGAGTCCACTGAACCTCTGCAGGCTGTATAGTCTCCAGTTGTTCTTCGTGCTTGAGCAAGCGTGCCGAAATCCATAAAGTCCGCTCAGACAGAGAGAGCTGTTACCAGTGTCAATCAGATATATGGGCCCGCCGTCAAGCTTACGTGAGCACGTACCACTGCATTAGCATCAAGTTCCTTCTGCGCCGCTGGCCTGAGGCGAACTCGGCGACCGACCTGCTTAGCAAATTCCACAAGGTCCTCCTCTGCCCGTCGCTTGTCGCCGAGGGATGGGTTGCTGACAGTGGTCAACGGAGACTCGGATGCGACACTGGTATCATCATTGTTGCTCGCTGTAGCATTGCCTGCTGAAATCGCTGCAGGGCCAGTGATAGGAGGAAGGTCCACCGTGTTGGATGATGGACTGACCGGTGGAGAGCTTCCGACAGCAAGCATCAGGTCCACAAGCTGCGACATGAGGAAAGAAAAAAGAGAGAAAAAGGAGAGAATATAGAGGGATGGAGGAAAGGCGACTGTCGTCCGAGTCAACACAGAGAAGACTTTTAACTGGATGAGCGACAATCACGTGCAGAACCAAGACCCCCGAATTTGGGCCATTGAGCTGCAGAAAACGTAGCAATTGCATCCCGCTGAACATATGCCAGCCCAAAGGACAGATCTGCATGCAGATGGTGAATGTTGTTGCATCACAGATGTGCGAGGTGCTTACCAACGGTGCCAGGATATTTTCTTCCTGTCCAGGATGATCCGAGTTCATGGGAATGTAAGCCCTGCACCGCACACACAGGTCAGTTCACGTCAGTAAAGAAGAACGGAGCAAAGCGACATATCGAATCCAAGAAACACCATGAGTCTGTTGCAGCATTACTCGAGAAAGAACATACTGAAGCCCATCCGAATCGCCGCGATGACCTGGCGGCCTGCCAGCCACCAGCCAAGATGTTCCTATCAGACGTGTTTATGGGTCCCGAGGCTCAGCAGAATGAACAGAGCGACGAGAACATACCTCGGCACAATCCTCTCGATGACATCTATGTCGATGGTGATCAGATCATGGACCATGCGGGTAACGAGGTCACCTTCTCAGCAGGCTCAGCTCCATGGGAGACGGAGCCTATGCGGATTCGAGCCGCACTAGAGAATCTGTTGGATAACCCGTACATTGAGCATGGACACTGGGGCGCAAGGGCAGCAGGGATGAATGACACGGACCTTGCCGATGAAGCTGAGGCAAATGACGAGGACCCTACAGTCGCAGATGCAGTGGCTGAATTGTACCGTGCAGGTAGATACCGCTTCTCACAGAGTCAACAACATGTAACTAACCTGCTGATGCATAGGCCTCTCTGACGATTTTGATGATGACAGTGGCTGGCACGGGGAAGACTTTGACGCGAGTCTAGGGCAAGAGTACGTGGCAAATGATCCACAATGGCAGCCATATGGTTCGAAAACAGTATGTTGCTATGGACAGAACATTGGAGATAATCACTGGCTCACACGTAGTCAGATGTTCATTCTCGACCTTCTGGACAACTTACCACGATTACGGCTCTCCGATGATCATCTCAAAGTCGTCATCTGGGCATTGAAGGAGTGCGGAGCCACGGATGTTCCATCATTCCATTCACTACGAACGAAGCAAGCACAGCTCACCAAAGAAGTGAACATCAAGACCACGCACCATACATCAGCCCAGGAGAACCATTTCTACGCCACTTGTCCATCCGAGACAAGCCGTCTTGTAAGTACAGCGAGGACTTGGGGTGCTTCCGAGTCCCAAGTCAACGCACGACGCAACTGATCATGTTCTTGATCTTCTGTAGGACTTTGCCAACCCTCTTGTGCGGCCGCATATGAAGTTCCTGCCCCGCGTGGGCACGTCAGTCTCAGAGTTCAGAGATGGGGAGAAATGGCTCAATATGAATGAGGATGCACTTGAAAGAGGCCAGCTCATGTGGATGGACGAGAAGAAACCGCACCGACATTTCTATATCAAGGAACTCGCGCGGCTGCGTGACGGACGCTACGTGATGCCGCTCCGATTTGTGGAAGATAACGAAGTGGATTGTCTTGATGGCTTCCTCGTTGTCCATTATCCTGCGGTATGTCAAGTGGTCCGTGGATAGTACTTGAAAGCACGAATTCACCAAATATTGAATAGACCGGGATATTCGTCGTCCGTAGTGAAGAGTTGATCCGTGTGGCGGCGGAGGAGCTGCAAGACAATGTGGTTGAACTGCAAAACCAACTGAATATACAATTTGACGGTGAGTCTTGCTCGCACACACCATAGATCATTCACCGCATGGCGGCGGCGGCGCTGACAAGCTTTCTAGCTCTAGCGCCACTGTGGGTCCGGGATGTACGACATCCAGTTCGCGCGAAAGCTGCCAACCGGCCAACGTTCACAGTGCGATTGATGGCATGGTGCGATGATGTATCTGGAAATAAAACGAAGCAGTACAATGCCCACACGAACGTCTATGTTGCGAACATCAATCTCCCGCATGAAAAACTGAAACAAGAGTACTTCGTTCGCTTTTGTTCGACCTCACAGCATGCATCGTCCGCAGAACAACTAGAAGGGCTCGCTAAAGATACGTGAGTATTCTATCATTCTCCACAGCTTGAAAGGCAACAATACGTGCATACTGAAAATACACAGGGGCCCTGACAAATGGCATGCAGCGTACGATTGCAAGCTTCAACAGGAAGTCTTGTTCCGGATCATCCCACATGTCTTCCCCGCAGATAATCCACAGCAATCTGAGCACTGTTCGCACATTGGTGGGAACGGCAACAAGCCCTGTCGATCTTGCAAGATTGGTGGTACCGCAGAGGAGCGGGAAACAGACGAGATCTATGAGTCATTTTTCTCAGTGAGTAGTCGTGATTCCGAAGATCATAGATATGATTCTCACCTATGGCCCTAAGTCAGGACCTCATCGCACCACGGAATGGACAATCAGTCAAATCGAGTCACAGCTATGGATTGCAGGTCTTGGCGTGCAGAATACGGTCGATCTCATGCAGACGAACACGGGGGTGAAAGATAAGACCGCCCAATACTGGATCAACATCCTGATTAAGAAGGCGCGTGCACTGCAGCACGAGCGGATAACAGCAGCGGCGACAAGGGACCCACGCTTGAACGATCGTACCTACAGCCGTGACGCCGAGGCCAAACAGGCTGTAAAAACGACAATCAACCGTGAAATACAACAGGAGTTGCACGATTGGCTTGTCCAACAGCCTTCACACAGCTACGACACGCTCCCAGCCGATTCCCGTACGTCTCTTTCAATGCACCACAGAGCCACCTGGCGCTCACCTCAAGTCCTGTGATCGCAGCACTTCGTGATAGGCTGCGACCAGGAGATCACTATAATGTCCTGCTTGGGCTCCCGGGCGTTGAGATTCATTTCGATACACCCGGTGAGATTTTGCACACTTACTTACTCGGACAGGAGAAGTACGTGTGGCACAAGACGACCTCACCCTGGGACAAGAAGAAGGACGAACTCTTTGCGGCACGGCTTCGGGGTTCCTCGGTCGATGGTTTGACCTTGCCACCTCTGCGAGCAGAATATTTGCTTCAATATAAGAACTCTCTCGTCGGGAAGCACTTCAAGGCGTTGCAACAGGTCGGGGTCTTTCATTTACATGATGACCTATGCTCCGATATCATTCGGGAACTGTGGAAGGCCACCGGTGAACTCGGTGCGATGCTGTGGTACAATAAGATCCGCAAAATGGACGAATATTTGGTACGTCTCATGCGGCTGTTCGCGCACTGTCATGCGCAACTCATTGGAATTGACCCCGGGCTTCATATGCATTGACAGGCAGATTTAGAGATCCTCATCGCGAATGTCCTCGACATTTGGGTGCTCATCGACCCGAATAGAATCCTCACCAAAAATAAGCTTCACGTTCTTGCCCATCTGATAGCGAATATCCCCCGGTTTGGTCCAGCGATCTTGTATTCCACTGAAGTCTTCGAGTGCTGGAACGCTATTTTCCGGTTCTGCAGTATCCTCTCAAATCATAGGGCACCAAGCCGTGACATTGCTGTGGCGTTGGCCGATATGGAACGTTTCAAGCATCAGGTGAGCGGCGGTTGGTGGCGCAACTCTGCGGGTGAGTACGTTCAGGCGGGGGAAAGAGTTTGCACATTCCTGCAGGAGAATCCCAGTCTACAGCGTCGTCTCGGCTGGGTAGAGAATCTATCGGCCATGCTCGTAGTTGGTGAGTACAATAAAGTTGTCATGACAATGACTCACGAGTTCGACTGATTTACCTATTCATGTGCCGGTTACCAGGCTCAGTGAAGCTAGAGGCACAGTTGAAGCGACATCCGGCTAGTTGGGCTCAATCTATCGCACCGTTATCACTTCCGCCACCAACGGACAATGTAGCATCAAACTCCGACTCTTTACACACAGCTACTATCTTCCAAGAGTGCAAGTCTTTGGTCTCGCAATCAAAAGACATCTGTAAGCCGGGTTCGTGGGTATTTTTTAAGACTTCGCGAGACGTGACGCCTGTCGTTCCCAGCGAAATGGTGAGCGCAATGATCCATCAACTCTACTTACAATCTCAAGTAAATCTTGCATCTCCCTTTCCGCAGATTCCGGATGTGGGAGCAGGGCGTGTCTTCAAGATACTCTCCCCTGTTGGCGGCGGAGAAGCGGTTGCTGTTATCCAGCATTTCGATATCATGGGCAAACGGGATGGCTATCTGAATATGCCAATCCTTACTCCCAGTAACAGACCCCATCAACTCGTTGCACCAAAGGTACGCTCAAATTTGCAGTCCGAGGGTGCACTTGTAGGCTCCGTGTTCTCACAACCTATTCTTAAAGGATGTCCTCTTCATCTTCAATGCGCAGCATGATTGCTATGCTTGCCATTGCACTACGGCCGGGCTGGAGCATGTCATTCAAGAGCGAGTAGTCACTGCCCGGACCCGACTCCATGTCACGCACGCAGAAACACCGCGTTACCTGCTTAACATGCATGCTCTCCACAACGCGGACCTGATTCGCGAGACCTTACCGCGAAATCTTACAGAGCCTCAGTATTATCTCGCCGACCGCCAGGTGCAGCACTGCCGTATTGCCACCGCTCTCCGCGTCACTGGTAGTGTCCGAAGGAAACAAATAGCAGCTAAAGCCGCCGAGACTCGCGCTCGTAACAAAGAGGCTCGCGCAACGACTGCCCCGAGTCGCAATGCTCAACTGCGGGACGAAAACAGCGGCAATGACCCGCCTAATGCAGGTTCGCTATCCAAGTTTCATATGTACATGTTCGAACGACCTGATCAAATCGTAGAGCCAGGAATGGCCAACGAAGACGTCGGTACTGGGGCGGACGACGATGTGGAGATGGAAGACCTGTCCTAACATATACATGCCGCTTTTCTTATGTACTCCATTCTCGGAGTCACACCCGCGACGGTTAGAGTCATGTTGTGGGGCTCTTGCAGCATCGGGTTGAAACAGTATGATCACAAGATTACTCGGCGGTCACGGAGATGGCTGAGCAATGTTTGTGTGGAGAGCCTGATCATCTTACCTCCCACCCGCTGCGGACCTTACGAGCCAGGTCATGGTCAGGTGAAGCCGGTGACCCTAGTGCAGGGTCTCACCACCATGAGCCGTACATCGTGGGTTACCTCCGTGACGCCCGAGGGTCTCAGCGCTTTCGGATGCCACAGCGAAATGGGCGTGTAACGCCTTGCGTCGGGAGTATCGCCCTTGCGAAGCACCGTTCGTAAGCCGCGTCGCAGGATTCCAGCGTTTCTAGGTCGTCGGCTGCGCATTCGGCGAGGAGAGGGTTGAAGTCATATGGACCTAGAAACAGGATTCGCGCGCAATTGCTTGCCCGTGCTTCGTAAATGGGTGTCCACAAAATCGAAGCTTATTAGGCCTATAGTGGGCGATGGATCCCTGGTGGATTTCATCCAGTCATGCTGCGCTGGATGGTCTCGATTCAAGATCCTCTACGTTCACTTGTGGGATTTGTGTCGAATCTACTGCGCTGGACACCGTTTATATCCGCTCGGAGGAGTCTTTCATACTACGGCTGGCCAGAGACACAATACAAGATACAGACTGAAGATCGGCGTCGTATGTACATGTCCACCCAAGTGCGATCCGAGCATCCTCCTTTTTCAGCGCAAACCTAGTACTCGCCTTCCATTCTGGGATCACACCGTCTGGCCCGCTCCCTGGCAGAGACAGCATCTGTCAAGACGAAGCGCACGGCGATCGTCCACCGCTCCACAGGAGTCCACACCTATGTAAATGCGGCCTTGCCGCTCCAAGCCCCAGTGCTACCTACTGCCAGTAGAGGACCGTGATTGACGACTTGAATAACGTCCATGGTATTCATATTCAATATTCAGCTTATGGACCAACGTTAACCGGAACCGCTGAACCTGGTGCGCGTTCCCTGGCATGCTCTCGGAAGTTCGTCGTCATGTATGACGAGTCTTCCTATGTTTCGTACATACTCACATGGAAGCCTTCCTTCACAGTGGCCTTCTCAGCATCATTATCAAGCCAGGGGTCTTGCAGTGTATCATAGCTTGCACCTGGCAGCGGCCGGCTCAGTGCCAATGCGAAGAAGGTACTGTAGTACAGGGTATCCTTCAGCCTCTCCCTCACCAACAGGTTTCGAGATACTTTCGTCTGCACGAGCTATGGTGGCGCTGTAAGGTTGCGTAAGAAACCCGGCGAGGGTATCTTACTGCGGGGTAAGTGACTGCGCCGGATGTCAATTTTTTACGCACGTTTCTTACCGTAGGTAACACGTGTCACGTGATTGAAAAACGCGCCAGGTGCCTAGTACCTATTCAGATACACATGTACCATGGATCGCGGCTTTAATGCGCGGAGGAATAGACAAGGGCAATGCATCGATTGATTGCGATAGACTGATAGAGACCCTACACCGTACACGGCCGCCCTAAACGTCGCTGTCAAACTCCCAATCGACCTCACCGCCTTCATCTGCACTATCACCCGGCTCAGCCCCAGCCCCCTTCTCCGCCCTGTCTTCACCCATCTTACTCTCCTGTACGTCTGATCGGTCGGGTCCGTCGCTAGAAAGCAAGTCGCGAAGAATGGAGGACTCGAGATTCACATACACCTCTACCACGAATGTCTCGGCACTGCCACAATGTTCGATCTTCTCCGAGTCATCGAGCCACGCTGGGTGACCATCCGGCTCTTCAATGTCTTCGTCTTCGTGGTCCCTTTCACTCCCTGGAACCCTTGCCTGTGATGCAGATTGTGTTTGGTTTTTGCTAATTGATGTATCCTCACGCAGAGTGCTCTCGATCTCGTAAAACTTCTTGGCTGCAAGAATGATCGATGGCGTCGTGCGCGGCTGAAGGCTAGGATGAATATCAAGCAGATGTATAATAAGACATATATCACCTTTGTTGTAAGGTTGTGTTGTCGGATTTGCGACACTGACACCACATCAGGAAAAAAAACCCTTTCTCTCGAGTGCTTTAGAGGCTCGAGAGCATTCGGAGCACGAGAGGAAGGTCCCCCCCTCCGAGAGCCCCGAGAGTGTCTGTGCGTGACTCCGGAGCACTACGGAGCCTTCGGGAACACAGTGGCAGTGCTCGCAAGATCTCTAATGTACTCAATATTCACGTCGCAAACACCGGTTTTTCACGCCTGCCTCGAAAATCAATCTAGCATTCAGATGTAGTACCCCCGTATTCACATCCGAGCCATCAGTACATACATAGGGTAGTATATATAATTCGTCAATCATCCGCCTCGGCCTCGCTGTCAGTCAAACCTGTACGTCCCTCGAGTTCTCTCTTGGTTTCCTCGATCCTCGCTGCCGACACTTTCCCGCGTTTGGGTGCGTCGTCTTCGTCTGGAATCTTCGCATATTTCCTAGAGCAACATTGATGTATTAGCACTCAGTATGAAAACGGGATGTTACCCGTCTCGCACCTGCCACGCTTGTACAGAACCACGCTGTGGGGAGTGCCCCCCACATAGGCCCGGACAGTATGTATATCCCTTATTTTGAGCTATCTGGTCAGTGCCATTCCCTCCGAGCATATTGACAACCTTCGCTATTCCTTCCGATACCCCATTTCTACTGTACTTGATGGACTTCGTGCGATTTCGCATTACTTACCATATATAGCAAGTACCTACTATTAGTCAGCTTCGGCGGCATACAGTGCCACGAAGACTTGTACATACCTTAGTTCTCCCCACCTCCGAATCTAGACATCTGCGAGCACAGCTTGTGGGTCCCTCATACATTTGTTGGAGCTGGGAGAGGCTCCCCGGGTTGGTCAACAGTGACCTTCTTGGGCAATCAAGGATCTTCGGACGTGCACGGTGCCACGTAATTGAGAAAAGACAAGTCCTACGACTTGGAGGCCAGGACAGCTCGGAAGATACAGGACCCGGACAGGGACTCGCGGAACGAGTACAGGAGCTTGCGGAACGAGTACGGGAGCCTGCGGAACGAGTACAGAAGCTCGCGGAACGAGTACAGGAGCTCTCGGAACGAGTACACTGGCAGGAGCTCGCGGAACGAGCATAGGCGGCTGCAGAACGAGCGTAGGAGCTCGCGGAACGAGCACAGGAACCCGCGGAACGAGGAAGGCGACCACGGAACGAGAACGAGACAACCGCGGAACGAGTTTAGCGACTTGAAGGGCAGCGACTGCAGAGCCAGAGTGGGGCACCTTCGGAACGAGAACAAGGACAAGAACGAGACAGAGCTTTAGAGTCCACGGAGCGAGTTGGGAACGGAGTCGTCAGCAAGGCTTGGAGAACCGAGGACAAGGTCAGTAACCCTGAGGCATCGTTGCGAGATCATTTCTCGGCACATCTCCCCTCCACTCTCAAAACCCCTTCCACCCATGTCACCTCCAATCAGGGAGCAGCGAAATGACCCACCCCTCGAACATCGCGCCCGGGGGTACCACACTCCCGAGCTACACAACTGGAGCCCACCGCGAGGGGTGGTACCCTATTCGTGCTTCTTCCACTCCGCCTACAGCTTCGCGTCATCGCATTCACAGCACAGGCAAGCACCCACAATCAAATACATTCACTTCCCACCCATTACGAGCACGTCACATACGGAACGAGGGCCCGCGTCACGGTGCGATCGGGACACAGCCAGAGTCACTACTGGGACTGTGTACAGGCGAGCCGACGTTTATTCCCTCCATTACCAGTCCACCATTACAGTGCATGCGAAATCAAAGCCAATGCGCGAAGCGGACGTAGTCGCGAGATCGACCGGCACGACGGTACGGTTCAGGTCTATCATGGAGTCGGCGACTGGCGGTCTCGGAGACGACAGCATGTACGCACTCGACGGCCTCTTCACGGCCTCAGAATCCGCAACTCAGACCTACGAGCAAGCCACGGGACGCGCGACTGGGACCTTCGAGCCAGGTATGGCACATGAAGGCGACGATCATCTCGCGATGCACACACTCCGAGTCGTCGCAAGCACCATTATCGCCCAATCCACGGAGATGCGGAACCATGGCGTTCACGGGACTCGACCGGCCACGCGCACGAGCATTGCCGCAGACGGACAAGGACGGGAGACGACGACACGCATACAGGAGCGGGTTCTTGTGCGTACGGGCGGCGACTTACTAGTAGTCGAGGACACCTCTCGTGGTACTGGCAGGGCAGCCGACTTGGACGCCCACGTCACCGTACGCTCGCATGTCCACCAAGGCAGCTCACTCACACTTCGCAACTTCTGGAGTGGAGTAGCAAGCCTTACGGCGAGGAAACACGACGGAGCTACCCAGCAGGAGAGCCTCACCATGACGACGAGACCCGGGGCGAACGCGAGCAACCGCGGATTCAGCATTCGCGAGCAACCGCTTGGATTTGGAGGCACACGCAGAGGTGTAACTGCCTGTTGGCGAGGGCGACACGCGATGGATAGGGGAGGTAGGCAGCAGGCGTACATGGGTAATGCGAGCTCTATGACACGTATACCTACGGACACGTCGGGCAGCAGTCCACATCGACTCGACGAGTTCTTCCTTGAGATATCGGGGGTCACAGCAAGGATGTTCGAGCGAGACGATGAGCCTGTGGGAGATGGACTCGCTAGGATCACGGCCACGCGGTTCAGTGACGCAATACCTTCGGACACGACTGTTAGTCCCGCGAACCCGGAGCAAGCGACGGCGCACCAGTACGGCAGGTCGGAAGGAGTTGCAGCAGTGAGCCGAGGACAGGACGAGCAATCACCTCCGCAAACGTTACCGCGAGCCGGAGTCTGTCAAGTGAACGTCAGCCTTAGGTCAGGACACAAGAGCCAGGGCGAAGGTTCAACTGGCAGATCTTGGAGTCCAGCGAGTAACGAAGCACGCGGCCACGCGATTCAAGGAACAGGGCCAACGAGCGAGAGCATCGAATACGAGGGTGCGCGCGAGCGAGAGGGGCGTCCGCGGGAGGCGAGCGAACAGATGCCATTGGCCAAGGTGCAGACCACGGGGGGGACGTACACGACAGACCACCGTGAGTCCAAGGTGCACCGCCACGGCGCTGAGACGGAGGAGCTCGGGAAGCTGCCGGCGGCGCCGAGACGAGTCTTGATGGTCGAGGACGATCACCCGTGGCTCAGGGAGCGAACTGGAACGGAGACACGAGCATCAGGACAGGCGCGAGATGTGATTACGAAGGTTAGACTCACCGGCGGAATCACTACGAGGAGCGACGCATGTCTTGCAGAGGTCGGTTACCGACACAGGGCCCCGTTCGGCGAGATACTGGCCTCGATACGAAGAGATCGAGAAGGAACGGGTATGGCGTACTTAGTCGACCAAGTGCGGACCTACAAGGATTCGAGTGTAAGCGATCTCGAACGAGAAATCGACGAGAGGATAGGGATTCCTGGATGCGGCACAGGCGGGGCGTCGAGCGAGCAGGATGAGCTCGGACGACGAGCGAGAGACTCACGGCGGGCGGGGGTTGCATGCAGGAACCTAGCGGCAACGGGTAGTGCGCACGGCCGGGATTTCGATGGCGAGCTAGGCCGTGACGAGAAGAGGATGGCGGCTGGTGAGGCTTCAGGCGCAGCCATTGGCGCGTGCAGCGAGGAACAGAAGGGGGTCGGCGGGTTCTTGGCAGTGGCAAGACGAGTTTTCAAACCCGGAAACGACTGGCTGCGGCTATACCAAGCTGCACAGGTGTCACAGGCGACCAGGCGGGTCGCAACAACAGCGTTAAAGGACAGACGTACCGGCAGAAGTTCAATGACAAGCTGCCCACCTTCCTCGCAAGCCGAAGACTCCATATCAATTCCAGGAGGCACACCATGCATGCAGACGAAGGCGACGCACGCATCACACATCTGGAAAGATACCGCAAGGCGGGATGGCGCGACGGCGGAAGAGCTTGATGCGTGCATGCAGCAGGAGCGACAGGCGGAGGAAGCGCAGGGGTTCAGACAGGTTGTGACTCGAGCGACAGAGACAACGCTCACCTATGGGATTTCCTCCACCGACTACGCGTGCCTGGGACGTTCACTTCCCTCGGCGAGATCTGGCATGCGTGTGCAGGAGCACGCGATGAAGGCGTTCGAGCTCGGAGCCGTTGACGACGCGCCGCTTTCGGGTACGCAGCGGAGCGTTGGACGCGAGGGAGGCTGGGAGTGTGCTGGTCAGGCGAGGATCCAACAAGGCACCATGGTCGCGATGGATGAGGGCTTGCGCGAGGATCGCAAGCGGCTGCAGGCAGAGTCGGTGGGGAGAGGACTCCGGCGAGAGAAGATCGCTCAAGCGCCCGAACTGTGGTCAGCACAGCCTACTGGCGCCTCGCTGGTCGCTCAGGTCGAAGATTCGGCGCGCGCATTCTCACGGCTTGTGTGTCTCCTCAATACTAGTAGCTTGTCAGCGCACGACTCTATCTGGCGAAACGCGAGAGGCCCTGCGGCAGTTCATGGCCGCGAGACCGTAAGATCGGAAGGAACCGCCTACGAGGCGTACAGGTGGGAGCACCACGACCAGAGGGTCCATACCTTAAGTAAAGCAGACACTCGAGACGAGCGATCCAGCGATGCGCAGGATGCTAGTGGTTCCAGGCCGGAACGTGCAAACGAGTGGGAACGGTTCGAGCGTAACAGAGCGGCGAGACGGACAGTTCTATGCGCAAGTGAGTCACCTGAACAGTTACGACTGAACGAATGCGACGGAGCAGGTCTGGGCATCGATATGCGCGCACCAAGGGGCCAGCCGGCGGACTCGGAAACCGAAAACTCAACATCGGAAGGGACACTCGCTCACGTCGGGCCTGTTGCAACGCAAGAACCGGCGAGACAGACATGCGGGAATCGCGACTCACAGCTAAAGGAATACACGGACCCGAACTCAGCCCGCTCTCAAGTCTCGCTAAGCCAGTGCATTGCGTCGGAACGAACGGCATGCGGAAGCAGAAAGGATAACATCGAGAGCCTAGCGACGGACATGGAATGGACGAGGATCGAGCACGGCGCGTTACGGAAGAAACAAGACGAGTTAAGGAAGACGGCGAGACGGAGCATTGCCGGGCGGGATGGTCCCTCGGAGGGAAGGAAGCTGGACGCGGAGGGAGCGCCAACGTTCGGACGAGTCTCAACGGAGGCTGGAATCACCGATAAAGCCCCCACGACCAGTCGCTTACTTGCGGTACCGTTGTTCTCGCAGACCTGGGCTATCGCATTGGCGCGGAAGGAGACGGTACACGTAGGCGAAGCTTCAGTGGGAAGAACGTCCATTCCGGAGCGATCTAAGGAGGAGGAGGAAGGCAGCTGCCGTCCACAAGCATCTGAAGCGGGAGAGGGTCAATATGATGTGGAGTTAGGGCCTGCTTTGGACACGATGGGACGTATCGAGGACGCGCATAGAGGAATTCAAGCTCGAGTTACGCGGAGGGCCGGAGGAAAGAGCATCTATTACGAGGCTACCTACGACAGACGGACGAGCCGAACCATCACGCCCACGGGAGAGTCAAGGCACGCCCGCTCGGAAGTCACAGCGAGCCAGCATGTTCTGTCTCTCCAGGCGGGACGCGAGTACGGGAGCGAGAACATGGAGAGCCGAGCAGTTGCGGATACGGCACGGGCGAGCTCAGAGATGGAGGTGCGCCGGAGGAAAGAGCGAGAACGAGACGGACCTCTGGATGCATCAAGACGACAAGTTGCGGATTCAGACGGGCAAAGGGAGCTATGGGAGGAACGTATGGAGGAGATGCGGACGTCCGGATGCAGGTCGACACTCGAGATCGCCTGGCGATGCGCGAAACAACTAGCAGGTAGCGGAGACCACGTCACGGAAGGAACGGCAGGCGAACCTCGGTATCGAGAGCGTGCGGACGACGACAGCGGCGCGGGACGGAGGGAGCACGAGAAGGTTGGAGGGCTCGTGGTGGCCATGAGACGAGTTTCCAGACGAGCCGGTAGGCGGGACGTCCAGCCACAGGACCCAGACGAGGCGCACACGCACGGGCAGCTGGCCAGAGCGAGGGAGGAGAACAGACTCGCGAGCAGATTCCTTACGGTGAATGGTTCGATGCGCATGTACGAGCTGCAGGGGGCGAGGTACAAGACTGCCGACAGCAAGCGTGCCGAGGTCCGGGACGTCGACGACAGTCAGTCGGAGGAGGCGGAGCTAGGGAAGAGAGGACCCGGGGTGACGACCGTTCAAGTGCATGGGTCAAGGCCGCCGCAGTCCTCTAACACCGGCGTGCTAGTCTCTCGAGCCACGGAGGGGTTACGTGCTATCTCACACGTCCTGAGGTCAAACTGGACCACTCATCTACCGAGCTTGTTCGCGTACAACGCAGTCTGGCGACACGGGCTACAGGAAGCGACGGGCAGTAGTCCAGCGATTGGGGAAGGTGGATGTCACATGGGGGGACCAGTACAGCTCCGAGCCAACGAGGAGCGGAGGGAGAAGACTCAGTGGCGAATTAAGCGGAACGAAGCCTCGAGACTAGCGGACGGACGGACGGAGGCTGGCGAGGGTCAGAACCTACCGAAGGCGAAGGCCAATAGATCAGCAGACGATGAAGAGCGATCGAGGGCAAGCGAGGTACAGCGGAGCGATCGAGCAGCGATCGGTCGCAAGACGAGTGTAACGGTAGAGGCCCGCGCTGAGGGGGAGGGAAGCCTGCGTACGCAACGCACCGCGTCCAAGCATAGGAAGACGGGAAACTCCACCGGGACTCAAGTTCAAGGGCGATTCGAGAGATTCGAGACACTCTTGCGAAACGATGAGGCGAGGGCTGGGAAGGAGCAGCCAGTCGAAACGCAAGCCAGCCAGCGAGGGAGGCGTAGGTCCCAGATCACGACGCATGCGTGCGTCAGGAGCCGGCCGAGCAAGCACACGAGAAAGGACACGACGGGGGGAGAGGGTAGTCTGAGGAACGAGCCTGGCAACGGCGAGACTGACACGAGTACCCAAGAGATGCAAGGGGTGGAGCCGAGCAGCGAGCAAGCCGAGTCCGAAGAGGAAGGCCGTGCATCTCAGGAAGGGGAGCCAGCGACGAGTCCAGACCAGGGATGGGCGAGCACTGCGGTTGGACGATCCGAGGGTGGCGAGCAGCACTTACCGAGCGCGACGAAGATCAGGGGTCGAGTCAAGGAAGATATGGATGCGACAGGAAAGGACAAGCCGAGGAATGTACGGAGGTATGTCGTTCTGCAGCGAAGCGAGGTCGAGAGGTGCGGGGGAGACTGTCCGAGTCACAAGGAACGCGAGCAGGGAGTAGACGGAAACCTCGCCAGAGATATTTCCTATGGTGGAAATGTGGAGTGCTGGGGCGCGAGCTGGGAGTCACGTTTAGGCGAGATGACTCACGAGCGTATCGATATCTTACGGGCGAGGGGGCTAACTAGCTCAGGAACATCGCTGCGAAGGCGTGGCGAAGACGGACCGACTGGGGAAGCTGCAACTGACGAACCATTGGCGGCGGATGGCCCTGCACGGGCGAACGGCGAGACGGATCAGGGCGCGAGCCTGCTGCTGAGTGAAGGGGAGCCTAAGCCCGCGGGTGAAAGCGCCGAACCCAGCGAGATGCAGGAGGTGGCGAGACAACGGGTTCAAGTAAGGACTTCGATACGCACGGCAGGAGAGAACGGACGTACCGCGTGTAGGAAAGCAGGCGCGCGTACGAAGGATAGCGATGGCGAGGTGGTTCCGCAGGAGGACTTAGTCGAGCCTGGGGTCTGCCAGTCATATGGGCTGAAAGCGAACCTCGAGGACGTACGCGCATGCGAGACAGAGCAGGGCGAGAGCTTGGAGCCAAGTAGAGGAAAGCCGGGGCCCGAGATGCGAGGCCCAGAGCCAAGTGACGAGCAACCCAAAAGTAAGCGGGAGGACCCCGTACGCCAGGGAGCAGGTGGTGGACTCGCATGCTGCAAGACGAGGCTGATTGTGAGCCTGAAGCCGAGTAAGGAGGAGGTGACTGACGAGAGGAGTAGCGAGAAGGACACGAGGTACGCCCTACGGCTGGAAGCCGAGCCGGGAATGTTGTCGTGCGCAAAGACCAAGGATGGACAGGCCGACCGAGAGGAAACAGGCGACCAATCAAACGGGGCTCGCATGGACCGAACAGACGTACCTCCGGAATGCTCCGCGGCGGGCGAGTTGGCGCAGGTGCAGGACAATACGGACCAGGGCGCGAGCTTCAGAGCGGCAGAATCACAGGGTTTAGCCGAGGCGTCAGAACGCATATCGGGAGAGAGCAGACGTGTCGAGTGCGAGAGAGAGGGCGAGTGCACGGAAGACGGGGATGGGGCGACAGTTCTACCGGGGAACTCGCTCGGGACCAGCAAGGTAGCCGAAGGACTGGTGGACTCACCGGACATACCAAGGCGACGACACGTATCAGTGGCGAGGGATGTCGCGCTGGCTATCGCAGAGTCGGACGGGCAAGAACCGGCACTGCAGGGAGGATTCGCCGAAGTTAGCCAGCCAGATGGACTCCCGGGAGATGGGACAGACCAATCGTTGCAACGAAGTGCAGGGGGGGAGCACGTACGAGCTCACGGCGGTGTGGACCAGCTCGCGAGCTTACAGCCGAGTAATGGGGAGCCCGAGTTGGCCGATGAACACGCAGGGCTTAGGGAGACGCTGGAGACAGCGAGACCACAGGACCGAGTGGGGACGGTGACGGGAAAGCCAGGAGAGAACGGACGTGCAGAGTGGGAGGGAATGGGCGAGCGAGCGCAGGACGGCGATTTTGAGGCCGTGTCGCAGGTCAACCTGGTCGAGATAAGCCAGCCGAGCGGATTTGTAGCAAACTGCGAATACGCACCGTGCCAACAATGGATCGGAGGAAGGCGTGGACGAGTGTGCAGCGAGGCGAACCGGGGCGCGAGCTTAAAGCCGGATAAGAGGAAGCCTGAGGACGGATGGGCTGGCGATGGCGAGACTCAGGGAGAGAGGAGGCGAGACTGGGAAGCATCAGGCGGAACATCGTCAGGGAGGCGGAGGCAACACGGACGCACCAGACGTGAGGAGACAGGCAAGTACACCGAGGAGAGTGGTAACGAAGAGGTCTGGGAAGTCGGGATCACCGAGGCCAGCCGGTCAACCGACAAGTCCATGGACGTACTGGACATATTGTGGCATCGAAGCCTGGCGGAGGAATCGCCACGGAAGCGGAGGGATGATGGACGCGGTGGATTCGGTGTTACTGGCGGATACGAGCAGGATGGCGGGTGTGAAGAGGTGCTACAAATGGAATTCGTCGAGATCAGTGAGGCCAGGGCGTTCACGGACCCAGCAAACATACCGGGCCAAGGACGCGAGATGGGTGCCACGGTGGACCAGCACGCGAGTGTCAAGCCGAGTATGGGGGAGCGGGCTGATGAACGTACCGGCCGTGACGAGACATGGAGGGCGTCGAGATGGATGGCGGTCGTGGAAGGGTTGTCGAGCGCACAAAAGCACACCACGCGCCCCGAGCATGAATGGACAAGCGGTCAGGAAATCGGACGCTTCGCGGAATCAGTCAATGTACCGTGGCAAGGACGCACGACAAGTGGGCTCGGGCACGAGCAGGGCAGCGAGACGAAGCAGGACGGGAGCTTCGAGCTGAGTAAGGGGGACTGCGACAAGGTCATCCACCAGCGTAGGGCACAGATGAACCGGGATCGTGGCCAGGAATCTGGTCAGTGGGACACGAAGCGAGGACGTGGCGAACGAGCGATATCTACGCACATGGAACAGTGGGATGTGACGACCGAACAACCGAGCTGCACACGGGAGGCCGCGGATTGTACAGTGCAAGCCAGCAAGACCAGTGACTCGCCGGATGAACCGTGGCAGGGACCGCGAGCAGAATGTGGCGTAGATGATCCAAGCTACGAGCCGGAGTCTGCGAGTCAAAGCGTACCGGAGGAAGGCTGGCTGCTAGGAGACTTTGGCGAGTTCGACACCGATATGCCGGAGCAGACACCTGAGGACGACCTCGTTGCGTGTTGGCATATTGCGGAGGATGGCCGTCGATTATGGGGGCACGTTCCGCGGGCCCAGGCTGAGGAGGCTCTGCGTTGGGTCAATCAGACCGACGGATGGATAGCGGAAGACGACGCACGCCGGGTGATTGATGAGGAAACCCTCCGGAGCGAGTGGCTAGCTCGGTACCTTGCGTACGAGCGCGGACAACTTGGGCCTGACGCGGTGATCTCAAGCGATCAGAGGAGAGAATACTCGAGGCTGAACGAGATGGGCCAGCTCGAGAACCTACATACGCATGGCCAGACGGACCAGGAGCGACCACATAGTGCAGAACCCAGTAAGGAGGGACCTCAGCGAGGTACCCGACCCGTTGGCGGGGCGCAGAGGACGATTGACTCGGACACAGAAGAACCAGGACTCGGAGGGTACCTACTTGTAGAGGTCGCGGAGCCCAAGATCCCGGAGGAGGCGCACGAGGACGAGTTGGTCAGCTGCTGTCACCTTGACGAGTGCGGGCAGTGGGTCGTCGAGTCTCTTCCGCGCGATGAGGCGAAGAAGGCGGTGGCGGAGGCAGATCGGCGGTTGCGCGCGGGGTTCTGGCGCAGGTTAGGTGCGACTCGAGGTGACAATACGCAAAACCCAGCGGAACGAGGGCAACCACAGAGCGTGGATCCGAGGATGGGGAAGCCTCGGAGAGGAGCTGGACCTGGTGGTCAGCCAGTCAGCGTGATCACGCGGAAGAACCTGGGCTGCGAGAGTGCCTACTTGTGGAGTCAGCCGAGGTCAAGATGTCGGAGAAGGCGGGCGATGATGAGCTGATCAGCCGCTGCCATCTGGACGAGAACGGGCACTGGCCGTATGCGGAGGCGGAGAGGGCTCGGAGTGGCGAGGCGAATGGGGACTGCGGCTGGCTCAATGAGGACAAAGATCGCGTGCGAGGTCTTAGCGCAACTCGGGGATGCAGCACAGAAGTTAATCGAGCGGATGGACTCGCGTCATTCATGTCGCAATGGATCGCTCTTGGTTAGGCAGTGTTGCCGTCGCGGCGGGGAGTGGGTGACCGGGGACGGTCACAATTTGAGTAAGGGGGAGATGTGGGGAGTGCCCCCACATAGGCCCGGACAGTATGTATATCCCTTATTTTGAGCTATCTGGTCAGTGCCATTCCCTCCGAGCATATTGACAACCTTCGCTATTCCTTCCGATACCCCATTTCTACTGTACTTGATGGACTTCGTGCGATTTCGCATTACTTACCATATATAGCAAGTACCTACTATTAGTCAGCTTCGGCGGCATACAGTGCCACGAAGACTTGTACATACCTTAGTTCTCCCCACCTCCGAATCTAGACATCTGCGAGCACAGCTTGTGGGTCCCTCATACATTTGTTGGAGCTGGGAGAGGCTCCCCGGGTTGGTCAACAGTGACCTTCTTGGGCAATCAAGGATCTTCGGACGTGCACGGTGCCACGTAATTGAGAAAAGACAAGTCCTACGACTTGGAGGCCAGGACAGCTCGGAAGATACAGGACCCGGACAGGGACTCGCGGAACGAGTACAGGAGCTTGCGGAACGAGTACGGGAGCCTGCGGAACGAGTACAGAAGCTCGCGGAACGAGTACAGGAGCTCTCGGAACGAGTACACTGGCAGGAGCTCGCGGAACGAGCATAGGCGGCTGCAGAACGAGCGTAGGAGCTCGCGGAACGAGCACAGGAACCCGCGGAACGAGGAAGGCGACCACGGAACGAGAACGAGACAACCGCGGAACGAGTTTAGCGACTTGAAGGGCAGCGACTGCAGAGCCAGAGTGGGGCACCTTCGGAACGAGAACAAGGACAAGAACGAGACAGAGCTTTAGAGTCCACGGAGCGAGTTGGGAACGGAGTCGTCAGCAAGGCTTGGAGAACCGAGGACAAGGTCAGTAACCCTGAGGCATCGTTGCGAGATCATTTCTCGGCACATCTCCCCTCCACTCTCAAAACCCCTTCCACCCATGTCACCTCCAATCAGGGAGCAGCGAAATGACCCACCCCTCGAACATCGCGCCCGGGGGTACCACACTCCCGAGCTACACAACGCGGATGTTCTGTGTCTGTTCGGGAGATGCGTTGACCCATTCTTCGACATCATCCAGGTGTGCTCTGAAGCGTGGTGCATTTGGTTCCTCACGGAAGTTACACTCTTCGTGTGTGCCAGACCGCCATTCTTCGATTGCAGCCTCGAGCTGAGAGAAGGCGATGTGAGATGGTCTTTGAGGGAGATAAAAGTGAGGAGACACTGTACCGCAGTGAAGATGAACGCGAGACTTGCCGCGCTGATAGGATTGAAATACCTGCTATGCTTGACACCGAGTGACTGAGACGGAATTCGTGCCTTGAAGAAACATTGCTCGACCATTCGGGAGACGATCTTGTGCTGTGCGAAACCTGAACGTTCACCAGTCTCGGTATCAACTGCCTAGATGGCCCATAGTTTGGCAGTGAGCCACATGTACGACGAGGAAGAAGGGAACAGCACCTTATAATGAAATGCGGCTTCATGAAGGAGGGCTGCGGCGCGCTCGGCATTCTGTCGCCGTGCATTCCTGTCGGTATCGCTGCTAAAGCCATGCAGCCGGGTGATCCACTGCCGAGCCTGTATGAGAACGTCGAGTCGGGCGTTTGACTTCCGGCCCTTCAGCTTGAGGTCATCAAGTCAGTGACACAATCTACGTGCGTATGGGAGAGGAATGCGCACGAAGGTCAGCATTCGGGTCGTCAGTTTGTACCGATGCTCAAGCTCCGACTCATCACACGCATCCGCCCACGATTCGATCGCCCAGCGTGCAAGTTGTTCGTCGTTAGGGTATGGATTGATGGTGTACAGTCGGCATTCAAGGAACCGTACGGCGGCAAGGAGTAAGGTCTTCACTTCATCGATGTAGTCGCTTGCTTTCGGCCGGCCTTGGGGGATGGAATCACCCTGGAACGGAGGCTCTAGTAAGTCTTTGCGAGGCTCCGATGGCTGCGTAGCCGCCTCCTGAGTTGCCCGAGAAGCCCTTTGGGTGTCTGTGGTCGGAGTCTGATGCACAGGAAGAGGAGATGAGCCTGGTCGGGGACTCGGGGTAATGGTGCTGACGAAGGCAGCTCAGTTCAACCCGATTACCACAGGGATATTTGACAAAGGCGTACCGTGCACCGCGAGGTGCGTTGACACCATGGGAACTTGAGAGTGGCTCAGACGGCCTGTGGCTTGTCTGTGGCGACCCGGGGTGAGCCTGACTCGGAGTGCGCTGTGCTCCACGAACAATTGGCATTGACGTGGTCGCAGTCCTGGCGGGGTTGTCATTACCACGAACGAGCGACCGAGACATACTTGAATCAAGCTCAGTCACAGTGACGTTGGGTGTGTGTGTCCGGGTTGGAGTTTCCGGCTCGGGGCTACTGTCGAGCATGCGGCGGCGTTGGGACTTCGATATTGCAGGTGTGGGCGTGGCGAAGTCAAAGGATGCCTTCTTCTGGAACTAGTAGCACCATTCAGTGTCAGTGGTCGCAATGGATATTCAAGCCACCTTGTTGATAATGAGACTCACCGATGACGATATGACAATCTCATTGCTGTCCTCGTCTTCATTTTCTGTCTGCCCCGTCTCACTCTCTGGCTCGACATCTGAACCGCTGTCATCTCTAGCAGAGTCGGCCACACGACTTCTACTTCCTACTCCGGTTTTTCGCAAGGCAGCAGCCAGCTTCTTCTGATACTTGTCCTTCTGCTTCTTCATTCTTGCGAGTTCGTCTGCTTGTTTGGCGAGTTGCTCTTCCACTACAAGGCACATCAGTTCAGTTCCGACCGAGTTAGAACCACTTCTTTGGACGTACTTTGGTCAGACTTCTTCTTTGAGGGCTGGCGTGACCGTGGTGTTCGAACAACGGCAGGGCTGCCACTTCTCTCATGTTGTTGACGCTTGGCTCGAGGTGGATCATCATCCGAATCATCGCCTTCGAAGTGATGCTGGGGCTCTTTGCGTTTCGGCATGAGGGGTGAGGCGAAAGAAGAAGTGGTGAGCGGCGAGCGGACTTACTGTTCAAGTACGCGTGGTTGATGTGGCTCAGTGGCTTGTGGCCGAGTTCGTGGCCGCAGATAATTAGCGCCCATCCCTCGACATTCAACCGAGTTGTCTACTGTCTCGACACGTTCAAAGCTGCTTCTTATACCAAAATCTTCATCACTTACTCTTAATCCTACGAGCTATCATACATATGAAGGCTCCAAAAACTGTGTACACCTGTGGAATCGCAGGCTGCAATGCAACGAAGCGAACTGTTCAAGCGCTCAACTCGCACAAGACGCAGGCTCACCGAGATATTCTGCGTGCGCGAGACAGGCGACTTGCCGCCGACATCGAAAAAGCCCATCAGCAAGCCGCATCATCAGTGTCTGCTCTCCCAGCGGATGCGGACACAAGACATACCCCATTATCATCTTCCGGTCAAGGCAACTCGGCGTCGAACCATGACCTGCCACACGTCGAGATAGAGGAGCCCATTGTCTTGGACCCTACCCCTGACGAGCTAGATGATCCTGCGGCAGGCCCGGGAGCGGCCACCGAGTCAGGAGCCATGTCAAGTGGCCCTAGTCCCTCGACACGGAAACCCAAGTCAGTGACAGTCGAGGATGTCCCCGACGAAGATGACGGCCTACCTCAGCATCTCTGGGAACAGCACTTCCCTGGAGATGTTGCATCAATCATTAGCCAGGCAGATACCGAATTCGACAACCTGCTCGCGCAACAGAAGGCCGACAATGCTGTTCCGTGGCAACCCTTCGAGACGCAGGAAGAATGGCAGTTAGCGCGGTGGCTCCTGACATCCGGGCTGTCACAGGCTGCAATAGACGACTATCTTAACCTAGAGATCGTGAGTATTTGCTATTGACTCACCTCGGAATTCAAAGTGACAGAGTGAATACCTAGACAAAGCACCGAACAAAGCCATCATTTGGCAGCAAGCGCGAATTCTTCAAGCGCATTGATGCTCTTCCAAAGGGCCCCGGGTGGATACTCGAAACATGGGAGGTCACTGGGAATGTTCTTGATGAAGACGGGAAACCACTTACCGAGGAGGTCGAGCTTTGGCGACGCCGTCCTGTCGAGTGTATCAAGGAGTTAATTGGAAATCCAGCATTCGATGGTTTGATCCAAAACGCACCAAAGAGGCAGTTCAAAGACTCAGATGGACGCTCGCGTGTCATCGACGAATGCAATACGGCCGACTGGTGGTGGGAGATCCAGAAGCACCTGCCTCCGGGTGCGACAGTTGCACCTCTCATTATCTCGTCAGATAAGACACAACTGTCGCAGTTCAGTGGTGACAAACAGGCTTACCCGGTGTATCTGAGCATCGGTAACATCGACAAATCGACAAGGCGACAACCATCTGCGGGCGCAACCGTGCTGCTCGGGTATCTGCCGACATCGAAGCTCGAGTGCTTCACCAAGAAGGACGATCGGCGCAAGATCGAAGGTTACCGACTCTTTCATGCCTGTATGCGCTCGATGCTACATCCGTTGATCTCGGCTGGCTTGACGGGCGTCGAGATGGTCTGCGCGGACCGTTGCATTCGTCGAGTGTATCCGATTGTCGCCGCGTACGTTGCAGACCATCCGGAACAATGTCTCGTCGCATGCTGTCAACAGAACCATTGTCCAAAATGTACAGTCAGTCCGAATACTCGGGGCGATCTCGTCAACTCACTGTTACGGGATCCGGACGAAACAATCCACGCTATGGCCGGTGAATCCCATGGCGAACAGCCGACGGAATTCAAGGAGTGGGGCCTGCACCTCATTGATCCGTTTTGGCGGGAGCTACCGCACTGCAACATCTTTCAGTGCATCACGCCCGACTTACTGCATCAGCTCCACAAAGGGGTCTTCAAGGATCATCTTGTTGATTGGGCAACCGCTGCAATGGTCGGTGGTGAAGACGAGGGTGACCGTCGTTTCCGTGCCATGACCGGTCATCCAGACTTGAGATGGTTCAAGAAGGGCATCTCTACGATCACCCAGTGGACCGGGACAGAATATAAGCACATGGAGAAGATTTTTCTGGGTGTACTCACGGGTGCTGTTACCGACACGGGTATCCTGCGATCTGTCCGTGCGGTCCTCGACTTCATATATCTCGCCCACTTCCAGGTTCACACGACCGAATCTCTGCTGCAGCTCGAATCTGCATTAGATGCTTTCCATGCAAACAAGGATGCATTCGTCAGGATGGGAATACGTACGCACTTCAATATTCCAAAGCTCCACTCGATGATCCACTACGGCCTTTCGATTCGCCTCCTCGGAACTTGCGACGGCTTCAACACGGAGAATTCGGAGCGCTTGCATATCGATTACGCAAAACGGGCCTACAGAGCAAGCAGCAAGAAAGACTACGTACAGCAAATGACAAAGTGGCTCACTCGGCAAGAGTCAATCCGCAAATTCACGCGATACTTGCGTTGGCTCGGAAAAGATGCCCCGGAAGGAAGGCCGACAGGAGTAGGACGGGATGATGGGCTGGATGAAGACAAGGCGGCTGATGTCAGCATGTCGTCGAAGCACGGACACATCGATCACGAACTCCCTGTGGCGCCAGATTCCGCCGGACAGGATGTTGCGGACGACCCAAGTGCACGCCGCACGTCAAAGACTCCGGCGTACCCAAACACGAGGGTAGGGACGTTGATGTCAGATTTTGGCTGCACGGATTTTATTCCACGGCTGGAGGAGTATCTCCGGCGTACCACGAGAGATGGTACACTGCCTCTCGCCGCGAGGAATATCACGGAATTGACACGGTTCGATGCCTACAAGAACGTCAAATTCTCCTTACCGTCATTGCGTCAGGTGTCGAAGGAAGGTTTACGCACCAGAGACAAAGTACGTGCCACACGCGCAACACCTGCGTCTGGGCCCAAGAAAGCCAAGGCAGCGTGCTTTGATACAATCCTCGCGCGTGAAGTATCTCTGCACGAGGGGGGTGGTGATCCACAGAACCCCTTGAGGGTGAGTCAATACTAGTCGTCCGCTCCCGCCCTCGCATCCGAGTCGAAACTGACGAAATGCTGTGTTTATCATAAGGTCTTCGTGTTGCGCGTGTTCGGTCGATTTTCCGCGTCCCTGAAAGCTACGGCCAGCAGTTCCATGAGCCACTTGCCTTTGTGGAGTGGTACACACCGCTTCGCAGCTACGATCAGAACCTCGGCATGTACAAGGTGTCCAAATCCACTCACCGTGGTCGCCCCAGAAGCTCCGTGATCCCAGTCTCCCATATTGAGCGAAGTTGCCACCTCCTCCCTCAGTGGGGTCGCGCCATGACGAGGAGCTGGAAGAGCGAGACTGTCCTGGATCAGTGCTCGACGTTTTACCTCAACCCCTATCTTCGCCACGACGACTTCGTTCTACTCCGGGTCTTTGCTCGTGAACCAGTACCAGGCTGAACTGTTAGTAGAACTACTTACTCTCGTGCAATGGGATACGCACTCTTCACGTTCATGGCCGAGCCATTCAATTGCTGTACTAGTGCGTGGTAGTAGTGGTGTTCAAGGAGAATGCATCGATTGCTATCGCACGCCAGATACCGCCGCCCGAAAAGCGTGACTGGTGGGCGCTAACGCAAAGTACGACTACAGTGCCGCAAAACGAGGTGTCTATTATATAATTCTATTGACTGGCGCAATCCGCTCCAGTGAGCGTCGTGGCAGTAGCTGTAGGTTCGAGAGTTGCTCAGAGGGCTCTGGAGCGAGGCGCAATGCTCTCGTGTCTCCGGGGGCTCCAGAGTGGTATGCGGCAGCTCCCGAGGGAAAGCGTTTTCCTGATGCATCGCTTGCAGGGTCATCCGGTTTCGTACTGGGCTATTCAGCCGCGTGAAGAGTGATGCTGTACGTTCATCGGGCATCGAGTTGGGCATGACAGAGTACAGCTTGATCGCAAGAGCCTACGGTATGTCACATTAGATCAGCCGTCTCGATGAATATAGGGTGACGTACAGCAAGGACTTCAGTGTGAGGGATAGACTGCACGATCATCCACCAATCCAAGGCAGTCTGGCCATCATTGCGCCGCGGAACAGTGGTAAATGGGTAGCTATTCTGTGCGTACGCAAGAAACTGGCTCTTGAATTGTTTTACGAGCTGATTCCACTGTTTCTTCGGCACATTCAGGACAGGGTGTTCACCATGCACTGCTTCGGCTTGGAGCAGTGCCATCAAGTAGTGACCTACACGTTTGTAGACATCAAGGGACTGAATTCGTGGTGGATCCGAGGCGAGATCTGTGGGCTGTACGTGTTTTGATGACGAGCTAGCTTTGGATTGGCTGACTCGGAAAAGGTCAGACTTGAGGTAATCTGCCGTGCGATGTGAAGACTTTTAGCTAGACCGTCTTTGGCAGAGTGCAACACAAATCCACTCACTCGGGTCAAGATAGACTGCAGACAGGTGTGCATCGGTAGGTCCGTCTTCGAACATCTCGCTCCAGCGTGCATTGTAGATCGCACGGATCTCTGCCATCACGCTCTCTGGAATACCCGATGCCTTCTGCGCAAACACTTGTTTCAATGACGCACCAATCCCGCACCAGTAAAGGAACAAATCCGCGAGGGACACCTGTAGCGACTCAAGGAGGACGATCGTCTTCGCAAATGGAAGACCGACACTGAGAACCTGATTCAGCTGTGTCTCGAAGACCAACGTTGATGGTGAGTCGCGTATGAAACACTCCTGCGTTTCCTGTACGTGCTGCTGATCAGCACAGCAAAGCTTTTGTTCCTGAAATCTTCGTACCTCCACAGTGATCTTCCCACTTGAGCAGCCATCTCGGAGTGCAGGAAGGCATCGCCGCATGGCCACCGAAGCTCGAATGATCATCGCGAACCGGGTCTTTCCTATCTTCTCAAGGCCACGCGGTATACCGAGGCGTTCACGGATTACCGCCAACTCTTCAGCAGATTGGTCCGACTTAGAAAAGAATTGCAAGGTGCGTCGTACAGTTGCAATCACGTCCTTGAAAAACGGCAATTTGCACAGGTTCTTGATCGGAAGGTTTGTATGATGGACCGGATCAGGTATGTTCATGATTGTAGGGACCGTCGCACACAGAAAGCGCCGACATGCTTTCGTGTTGCCAGTGCTGTCCGATGAAGCGGCGCTGAAGCGTCTTCGACCGATCGGATCAACAACTTGCTGAAAAGCAAAAGTGTGAGTGAGTTACGTCTTTGTATGTGTCAATAACCAAACCTTCAGCATGCTTCGTGCCAACCAGTCCGCCGTATGTCGCACCCGGCAACCGTCAATGACATCAACAAAAAAGACCTGGCGATTCGGCGCGGCAGTCGTGACATGCACAGTATAGTACGACTGGTGGCGCTTATTCGCACCACCGTCGTACGTGATGGTGAGGTTGATTTGAGTGCGGAGATACTCAATTTGCAGATGTCGTACATGTTCTGCCTCCTGTGGGATTTGTGTCTCCTCGAGCGTACTCCGGGACACAGGTATGTACTTTGTGTTCCCTATCTCCCACATGTTCTTCCACGTCGCTGAATCGACAACTGATGGGGAATACCGTTACAGCAGATGAACTTCAAGATCGCGGGGTCAAGCTGTGCCTTCAGCCAAGTGCGCCCGGCCCGCCCAACCATGACATCGAGCGTCGTCTGGCCAGACTTCGCTGCATGTGGGTTGGGCTGTCTGCTGTCGACAGCTACCAACCGGGAGTTCTCGGGTGCCAATGCCGCTTGGGCAGCAACTACAGTGGAGGGATCCGGCGCCAATGTCATGTTCGTGATGCCGCCATTCGGAGCGACCTTCTGGGCAAACACTAAGGCGAGTTGCTCCTGCCTTGCACTTGGGGTGTTCTCCCTACTCGCCTTCGAGGCTTTTGATCGCAACTCTGTTGACAGGTGCAGACACCGGCTCGCATGAGAAAGGACTCGGCCACTTGTCCGACCAGACCAAGCCCGATCGCAGCCACGACCAATGCAACCATAGCGTTTCTTGCCATCGGTCGCCTGATTCAGCTCGCGTGTGAGCTGGTCCAGGAGTGGCTTGCGAGGGCGTCCTATTGTTTGTGCATGAGGTACGTCCGAGTCCCCACTTGTATTGCTCCCATCTAACTCTGACTCGGAGTCGCCATCTGATGGTGTGTCGCCTAGGATATCCTTAGGGTTTGGCTTGAAGGATCGCTGCGTAGCATGTGAGTTTCAGTGGACATGCATTGGCACAGACATATACGCTCACAATTGCAGGTAGTGCCACAGATTTCTCCGCTTTCTTCTTCTGAGACTTCCCCCCACGACGACGCTTCTTCACGGGCTTCTTCAGGTGCGGTGCCGCCTTCCCCATCAGTATGACGTCCATCGGGTTGACCTCGGAACCCTCATCACTAAGGTTGCTCCCCACATCGAACCCCATTCCGATCGGACGCCGTTTTCGCTTCATCGGCTTTCCTGGCACCTTTGGGGTCTCGCATGCGATGGCTGCACTGTCACACTTGGGCTTGGACAGGATAGGTATGTCGATAGACGTATCAATGATGGTGATGTCCTGATCAATCTGCAGGGCGCCACCGAGGTCACTATCAGTGAAGTCGGGTGTTGATGTCGCGGCTTCCACGGGCTAAGCAGTTAGTAACTCTCGTGAGTCTTGCATTCAATGAGATAGGGTACCAAGCACAAAGGCTTACTGAGGATTGCGAGATCTTCCATATACGTTCCAAATAGACCATCCGTGCACTGTCGACCATATCAGGCAATATGAGGGGATGGAGATCCGGCAGATAGTAGTGGGCAATAGCGTTCGGGGCACAGATTCCACACGAGAAGTAGTCGCCAGGCGCCTGTCGCATGCATGGAAGGTGCGATACAGAGAGCTGCTGTTTTGCGTACGGTGTGAGCCACCATTGAAGCAGATCATGCAGCTGAGGAGGGATGCTATGTCCCATCGAGTCCGCGAAGAGGATAGACCACACCCTGAAGTCCACGACGACCGCGATCCAGTGGGCACCATTCAAATTGAAAACGAGACTCAGTGATAGAAGGTCCCCACTTGCGAGGCGCTCTCCAAATTGGACCAACCAAGCAGGGAGCACGACCTTTGGAGGTGGGATAGGCTTTCCTGTGGCACTGCGTACCTGTGCCCTTTCTACATACCTGCTCCATAGCAGCCACGTCCAGTATGCATCCCAAATAGCATGTCTCCCTCGAAGGTGGTCGTCCATGTCGATATCGGTGCGTAGTATGTTACAGATCATTCCGATGTGTTCTGATGCGAGCCATTCTCGTGAAAGAAATGAGGCGAGAGCTATCGTGTCCGGCTTCCCTTCAAGAGCTCCAAGGCGTCCGGAATGGGGTATCCGTGTCAAGAGGAGTCGGGTTGAGTCGGTCAGTGGCCCTGGAGCACGCCCAGACGTCAACAACCATGTTTCGGCTGTTTTCCAGGTTGTGTAGGTGCTCCGCATGCGATGCACACGGCGCCAGAAACTGAGAATATACAAGGGCACCAGGGAGTTGGCACCAGTGCTGGTGGCATACGAGGTCGATATGAGGTGAGCATAATGGATAGAGACCTTTCCAGCAAGCCACTCTTCTCCTACAGCACGAAAGAGCTTATCTATCATCTCCACAGGCGGCACAGGCAGCGCGCACAGGTCCTTGAACGTAGGAAGGGTGGAAGGTTCTGCAGAGAAGAAGTCTTGTGTACTCGGGGTAGGACTTCCGGGCGAGAGTATTGGTACCTGGCCATTAGCAATGAATGCACGGACAGTTGTGGATGGTACACCGAAAAGAGCTATCTCCAAGCCAGATGGCATTGTGAGAAGGCTCGCAAGGACTTCGCGGACGTAGCTTGGTGTGTTTGCAAACTGCTGGCCAGCCAGTATCCATTCATGCGAGACGAAGACACCAGCATGCGACTTAGGTTTCGACATGGGCAGAGGTCCGAGTCTTTTGGAGTCGTTTGAGTGACAAGGTTCAAGTCGTCGAGTACTAGTACTTCAGAGATGGCGGGCAGTGACTGCGACACTCGCATGGCTTACTAACCCAGCTCCATTGCCAATGTGTTACCATGTATCCGCATAATAGTACAATTGGCAACTTGAACTTGGAGTCACTGCTCCAGCGGTGTCACGGTAGGGCACCAAGTTGGACGGAAGTTCCGAGACTAATATACTCAGGTCAAATAAAATAAAAGTTCACTATGTTTGGATATGAACAGAGTCTACGATATACGAGTATCTGTACTACTAGTCGGCCAGGTCAGACAGTACACGACACTGCAGCCAGGCGCCGGATTGTCGGGCGCGCGTCGCGCGACGACCCAATGCGGTCGCGCGGCGCCGCCGCGCGAAATCTCATCATGTGACCGTTGGTCTGAAAACTTTCTTACATGTACACCCGGGGACCCTGTAAGTTAGTCGTATTTAACCAGTATAATACATGTAAAGTAATTACATGTTTAAAACAGGCCCCTTTCATACGCTACCCTATGGCGCTGCGCATTAGAGTCTGCCACAACTACGTCCATGGAACACATGATCACCTAGTTTCACGATGTGGTCGGTTCAAGCACTTTTGGAAACGATCTACTTACCTGCCATTCTAGGAACACCACTGCGTCGGGCCCGCCGCACTTTCAAATTAGGCATCGCCATCATTCGGCGTCGTCCCAACTGCGCGCCGCGGCGAACCTCAACGTTTCAACCGCCAGAGAGGTCCGCAGCGCTGACGCGGGCGCTATCACACCATACCATACTAAGTAGCGATCAACATCTGCGTCGTCTTTTCCACGCGCCTCCGTTGCTGCGAGCGCAGGCAGGCATTCCTTGGTAGTACCTGCTGCGCCGCGGTGACTTGCATGTCAACGTGCCACATGATGATGCCAGATCATACATAAGTAGCGGTAGTCGTCGACCCAGGCGATGATACCCCCGGGCGCGTCACCGACTCTCTGGATGTACTTCAAACTGGAGGACTCGGACGCTCAGCCTCAGGCCAGAGATGACCTGGCGGCGGATGTCAGGCCGATGAGATATGGTCAGTCAAGTATCCTTACCGTGATGGGACCCAGGTCGTCGTGCTGACACCGTTGCGCAGCCGACATTCCGAACGTTGTCGCAACACACAGGGCTGCGTTCGCGAACGACCCCGTATGGAGTTACTTGTTCAGGACGCCAGTGTGTCACCGCATCATCTCAAGGTTGTACAGCTCTCGAAGTGATGTTTTTGCTTGCAGGATGATGCAACGTGCTCGCGCTTGAGTCGCTGGCTCGATAGCCTGGTGTATTTCCTACAATGTCTCGGACGCGTGCATGCGCGGAAGATGTTGGTGATTAACGACGGGGATGCCTATCTATACTTGTGAGTCCGATCCGCACCCGTAAAGCGGCATTGCTTCTCACAGGCGGTCGTGAACTGCATTCGCAGCGGCCTTCCCGGTGGTAAGCCGACCGTCGTAGAGCGCATCATCGGGCGCAGTACCTCCTTCCTACGGAAGGTGAGGACGGCGGAACAGAAGAAGGTATGCATCCTACGGGTCCCTCTCCAATACACGCGTGCCCCTACTTGGTGACTATCTGACGCAACCATAATTAGCGTATGGAGGAGACGATGCAGAAACAGGACGCCGCCATAAAGGCGGCCATAGGCGAGAGGATCCACAGCATGTTCGCCGCGCACGATCTCGCAACACATCCAGGGAAGCAAGGCAGAGGGTACGGGGGCGCACTCGTGGCTGCTGCCAACGCCAAGGTACGTCTGTCCGTAACTGCCTACCGCCCGAGTCTGGGGCTGACTGCCAGATTCCCCGGGACGTGCAGGCAGACGCGCTCGGCGCAGCGTCCTGGCTCTCCTCGTCGAACGTTGCCAACACCGCGTTCTACGAGAGCTGCGGCTTCGTCGTCGTGCGGGAATTCGCGATCGGGGACGAGAACCCGACATGGATGGAGCCGCCCATCGTCGTTAGGATTGTGCGTATTCTGCGGTGAGGGACGCGTGCCTCGAATCTAACCTTTTCATTGCAGATGGTGAGGGAACAGCAGGGCGCGGCCCATGACTTGAAGGAAGAGATGGTCTAGGGTTTATTTTGTGACTATAGTGTTTGCGTTTATCTCAGGGTCTTGCTTGAGTCTCCGCTGTATACGTAGGTCTCAGCCATTTCAAATTGGCGGTCACAGGGTCTCGCACCAAGCGGCACAGTTCGCATTAGTTACTGGTCGATCACCATTAGATTCTACTACGTAACACAACAACCGCACAGACAACAGCGGCGACACTTTTGACCGACCGCACGCAAGGCCCCGCTACAATACACCCAGCTCAATAAGGATAACATCGAGGAGAGAGTCAGAGAGATCATCATAGCAGCACAGACGGAGGGTTCGTGACCCGCGACAAGGACGGAGGTATGAGGGCGATGATGGCGTGGTATGCGGGTACATGAGTGAGCAAGAAATGAGCGTGCCAGAGGGATGCGCCGGAAGGGCGACCAGGGGAGGATAGAGGCGTTCATGGGTCTGCGGCGGCGACGCCCGTGACGAAGCCCTCCTGGTCCTCGTTCGAGATGTCCTCGAGCGTCTGCTGCTTCGTCTCCGTGATGAGCAGCGTCGAGAACACGCCCGTCAGCATGAACAGCGCCAAGATCTCGATACTGTCATCACCCGTCAGCGCCCGCACGGAACCCCACAAAAGAAAGACGCGACTCACATGTGCTTCACGAACTTGTTCGTCCCGCCGATGTTCGCCATCTGCGCGAAGCCGACCTGGGAGATGACCGCGCCGAGCTTGCCGCTCGCGGCGGAGATGCCGTGCGCGGTCGAGCGGTAGCGCGTCGGGAACGCCTCGCCGGGCACGATGAACGTCGTCGTGTTCGGCCCGAAGTTCTCGAAGAAGTTCGCCAGACAGTAGAGGAACACGAACGCGTTCCTCCCCGACTTCGTCGCCGAGAGCGCGTCGTATCCGAAGCCTGCCCGCGAACAATCAGTACGCCGTGCGCTACGGGAGAGGAAGGAAAGGAGGCGCACCCATGATGATGAAGAGGATGGTGAGCATGATGAAGCCCATGAGCTGGATCGGCTTGCGGCCCCAAGTGTCGATGAAGCAGAAGGCCACCCAGTACCCGGGGATGAGACCCGCGACGGAGAGGATGATGTTACCGATGCATATGTTGCGCAGGTTCTGGTACACCAGCTCCGTGCCCTTCAGGCCGGTGGTGATCGTGCCGAAGCCGACCGCTTCAAGGATGATCGAGCTGTTCAAGCCGAGGCCGTAGAACGCGATCTGCGCGCGGGCACCGTGTCAGAATCGGAGGCAAGAGTATGGGGAGCGGTAGAGATGCACGCACGTCAAGGGCGAACCACGAGTACGCGCAGCCGAGGAGCTGGCGTCCGTTCTCCCACTTGCCGAAGTGGCGGAAGAAGTCGCGGCGCGAGGCCTTGGGCGCCTGGACGCGCTGCACGACCGCGTCGGGGTCGACGTGGTAGCTGCCAGTGGTGAGGAAGTTCTCGACGTCCTGCGCGGCCTGCTTGACGTTGCGCTCGACGTCCATGGTGAAACGGGGCGTCTCGGGGATCGTCAGACGGAAGTAGAGCGCGATGACTCCGGGAACGCAGCCGAGACCGATGAGGAGACGCCACATGTAGTCGACCGAGTTCATGCTGTCAACGTTGTCCCTGAGGAGGGAGTGCTTCTCAGCCGCGACGACGACGTATGCGACGATGCAACCGGCTGCGGAGGTGATTAGATCGAATTGTGCAAATCTAGGTCAGACAGACGACATACCGAGCTGGCCCCATCCTTGGTTGGCAAAGACCGCCGTCATGAGACGACCACGGCTCTTTCTGGACGCGAACTCGGAGGAGATGACGGCAGAAAGAGGGTAATCGCCTCCAATACCGATCCCCATCTGCGTGCAGCTATCAGCTAAACGATACATCCGGCACACAGCGCAATACCCACAATGAATCTCCAGACAACGATGACGCCCAGGATGTTGATGGCCTTTGCCTGACCCGCGACAGCCTGACCGAATGTCGCGACGATGATGATCATCAGTTCGATACCATCTGTTACATATACGAACATGAGTAATGCTTCACAGTGAAATGGTGAACTAGGACTTACACATCCGCTTACGGCCGACCACGTCTGCCATCCAACCGAAGAAAAACTGGCCAAAAATGTTACCGATGGGAGTCGCGACCTTGACACCAAGCGATTGGTTTGAGGTGAGGGCGCGAGTTGCGCCCGACCCCTTTCCTCCGTAGAGGTAGCCCAGCATGATCGCGGCGATGTTAATTGCGAAAATATCATAGCTGAAGGTAATATTGGCATATCAGCACAAGAACGTAGCCGTGAAACGGCGTCGCACAAAACACTTACGCATCGGTGAAGAAACCGACACCAGCCACCATTGACACCTTCACATGGAACCAACTGCGTTTTAATCGTGAGCTGCCGTAAGCGAGGTGAAATGCGATCGAGCTCACCTGAACTTGGCATCGTCGACCTCGGCGAGCGCTGCACGGCGCTTCTCGTCGAGCGCGTATGCGACGGGGGGTGGGCCGCCCTTCTCGAGCTCTGGGCCTGCGCTGCTGGTGGAGGCCTTGTCTACCATGTGGAGTTCAGCCATCTCGCTGGAAAGGAACGTCTAGCGAGGGAGTCGTCTGAGTCGGGCGGGGGTGCGGGAGAGAGCACGGGGCTGGAGGACTGGCTGTAGATAGCGCTGCATGTCTTTTAAGTTGCTTCTGCACGGACGGCATGCTGTGTTCCGGACTTGATGAAATTGGATGCAGCTTGGCCCGCGAGCCTCCCATTCTGCCCCCGGCGTCGTTCCTTGCACGTTCGTACCACCCAGCCAACCACCGCCGCGCGCCTGTGGTGTCCTGTTTGTGCACCTTTCCTCTTTGGGCCGCAAGAAGCACGGTGTCGAGCGTCGGGATGCACGTTCTCACCCGTCCACAGGGCCCATCCTCGCCCGCTGTTCTCCCTCCCGCCAGCCAGGGCAGCGCTCGCGTGCCTAGGGGAGTATGTTTCTGGCTTCCACCCGGCTCCTCACTCGCCGTCGACGTGTGTTGGCGCACCTTCCGCACTCGCTCGCTCGCTCGACCCGAATACTCGCGGTGCCTGGCTATGCCTGGGCTCGTAGGTGGCGTATTCAGCAATCTTCTCTCTACTTGTCAGACACTCGCGCAGCACATGCTGCCGGGGGGCAAAGCGCCGGGCTCTATGTGGCCACGAATGAGACAGCGGCAGCCCGCTGCGGCGATTCCTTGCTCACATCTTTCGACACACGCTGTAGACCGCGGCAGCCCATGAGCACGCTGAGATGCTGTTCTCGCGGAGAAGCCGTGCGTAGACACAACTCTAATCTCATGAAGCATCTTCTCGCAGAGCTACCAGATCTAGGGACCTGCTATGTCCACCGATCGCTGCTCCGCGCTTCACTGTACTCGATCTGCATTTCATTATGCACCCTCCGAACTGCCCTACGGTGATATCTTGACCGCTCGGTTATTGGCACATGACGAGTGTCAGTATCTCCGAGAGGCGCACGAACTGTTTTCAAATCATATCAGTGCTATTCTAATGCTCGATAGTCACGGCCGCGGCCTCCTTACGTACTGACCAGGGGCTGCTCTTCGGGTGCGAGCTGTCCGCCGCACGCCACCCCAGGTCATATCCAGCAATTCCACGTTGGACTGGATCTAGCACTGCCGAGTGCAGAGCGGAAACGCAACGACCCACGGAGCAACCCCAGTAGCTTGCGGCAGAACCAAAGGTCCCTTGCAGATAGTACCGCCTCCAAATGGCGCCAAACAAGGTGACCGGCAAGTTCTGAACGTAGCGATGTGTACAATTATAACGCACAGCAGTGGTTTGTCCTATGCAGCATCAAGACACTTGGTATATACGGCCGAACGTCAGATGTCACTGATCACGCTAGCGGGTCAATGTCGTCGAATGCCGTAGTACGCCCAGCACATAAGGACTCCTTACCAGAATGCACCGCCGGCACTCGTATTGGTCTCAGCATCGCATCCGTTCGTCCGGAGCCGCGGCGGCCATGCCAACAAGGTTTGCCTCGTTAGTACTAGCAATTGATATGTTGTTGACTACCTGTACTCAGCAGGAATCGCGAGCCGGGTCATGATGCTGCTCCGGCACCGTCATCTTGACAATTGACCCACCTGCGTACCCACGTTCTACCCCTCCTGGGATGCTTACTCTCTGTCTCAACTGGACTAGCCCACTCCGGACTCAGCCTCTCCTCGCATTTGAAGGCAGTGTCGCCTGCCACCGGCACTTCTTCCTTGTTACTACGCCTCCACGAATCCCATCCTCGAGGCCACACCCATCGCGAAGGCCAGCCACAAACCCGTCGTCCCGTGCGACATGGGCGCCAGCGCCCCACCCATATATCGCCGTCGCGGATCCTGGCCGAACCGCCAGGCGATGCACAGCGACGCTTCCTCAGGCCGCTGTGCCAGGCGGCCGTGAATGCGGGCGGGGGCGAGCGGTGCGCGAGGCAACGCTGACTCGGAGTACAAGGTGAACCTTGTATGTATGCGTCTTCCTCCTCGCTGATCCCCGGAGTTGGGAAGGATTCTTGATCGCCGCCCCCTGGGTCATGCCCCCGTGGTTCGCGGTGGTACCTCCCGGCGATTGCATGTCTGAGGTAGCTTGACGTGACGGTGGGTCATTTGGGACTGGCGGCAGGGGCGGGGTGGTGCTCCTGATCCTATTGTAGATGATCGGTGCGTGAGGGTGCTGGGCGCGGGGCGTCCCGCTGTGCTCTGTCACCTGTATCTAGGCACATCTGCGCGACGGCAGGCGACACGGGCAGATTGGTCGTTCGTGGTTGTACTCGGGATATCAGTCACTCTCGATCCTGTATGCCGTTGACGTACAAGGATGCGTCTTCCAGAGATGAGATGTCTTGGACATGATGAGGGCTCCTTACTTCGGTTTCTGTGGGAGATCGGATGACCTACTCGGACCCCGCTCTCGATCCTGCGAGCGCATCTGAATAACCGCACCCGTGAAGTCGGTATAACAGACAGGTCTATCAATTCCGCCGGAGATGGAACTGTCTGCGCAATGCAGGAGACTTACCGACCCTGAAGAAACGGTTTGTAGCGTTACGTCCCCACCCGTCGATATCGCGCGAGTTCATTGTACATGCGGCATATCACGACGAGAGCCCAGTGAGTCTCCGGCCGTTGAATGGGAAGTTTAAATGACACTAACGCGATGGAACGGCAATTTTGTAGGTCGTTGCGGTACTGACTGTACCTCGTTCTCTCAGCGCATCTACAATCAGGTTCTAGGGACGTGTATGTCGTGTCCCGGATAGATTGTCCTCCCGTCTCTGAACACTCGTCCGCCGTCGGTTGCTTCCTGCGCAGCGGCGTCCGGGACTAGGCGAGTCATAGCCTTGTTCATCTGTCATACGAGCTTCGAGTCTTCATCTACACCTGTCGGCGGGCGCCGGTACTGAGTTTGCACGACACCCCTGGACCCGAGACCGACTGATGTAAGTAACGCAGCCTATCCAGGGATGCTGTAGCAAGTGTAGTAGGCGTCCGCACTTCGTGTTTTGGTCGCATGCTCGACTGGGTAGCAATTATTGTCTCGCAGAACCAGATGGGTCGCGATCTCGGCATCTCGACTTCCTAAAACCTCGATGAAGCCATTGAAAAGTCGCGAGTGAGTGTTCTCACCATACCGTTGCGCACCTGTCTCTAATGTGTCCACTTTCAAAAAGGACGTCAACAGCCTGAGCTCGAACGGTCTGCTAATGGCGGGCGTGATGAGGCAATGAACAGATCCAATTACCGTGAGCCGCACATCTTGACCGACATGATGCTGCCCCAACCAAACAGATGACGTGCTAACTAGCTAGTATCAGGCAGCAACGCCGCCGCCGCCTGGCCGCCAGTTCCATTCGTGGACACCTTCGGCTGCTTCCATTCCTACTGCGAGATGTCATCGCGCTGTCAGCATCGTAGAGCACGGATCCCTTGTCGGTGGAGGCTCAGTAAAATCTAAGATCTCATGGTACTATGGGAGTTTGGTGAATTTTCGGCGGACTCTCTTGGATACGTGAGTGCAGTTGTGTGCACCATCGTCAAGAAGCTAATGCTTTCTACCACAGTGGCACACAGCGATGCTGAGACGAGTTGCGCGTGATCATGGACATCTGGTCTGGGTGACATGGTACCACCACGTAGTATCGCCTGGTCGCCTGAAGCGTTCGCCCGCCTTCTGCTATCGCCGCAGAGGCGGAATGCCAGATCTGCCAATCCACCGGTCAGCTCGAATTGAATGTGGCGGCACACGGATCAAACTGATCGGGAGATCTCAGTGCATCCGGCGGGCATGCTTCTCGGGCGTCTAGGCTAAATTGGCAATATGGCAGGTACGGAGCGCACGTTCGTGAATAGCTCGACACTAGGTTCAGTCGCTCAGCCAAGGCACCGCTGCCGCTGTCCTCTTTCGCGATGGCGAATGTGCGAGACCGCCTCGGCATTCTGATGCTGTTCAGTCTGCGAGGCAAGCTGTGAACATGCATAGCACACCGAGCCTCAGACTCGGAGACGCTACGGTGCGCTATCGCGGTGGGAACGGTGAGTGGCAAAGCATGGGTTCATTTTGGGCTCACTTCTCATGTGGCGTCCAATCCAAGGGTTCAGCTTGTCAGCGCGCCCACACCAGTCGAGGCTTCGGACGGTTCTGGTCTGGCGCTGTCCGATGAGATCGCGTGGTGCCTGCTGAGACGGGAGCTCTGGGCGACCCGCCATCCAGTTTCCAACCCTGATGTGCCACCCAACGCTCTCATCTTTCTTCCTGCCCCCTTGTCCCATTGCCATTGCGCCCGGCGCAAACTCACTTTAAGGTCGGGCAGGGGACAGAACCGGCGTGGTATTCCGCTCCCCGACCGGTACCGGCAAGGCGCCCCCTCGAATGCACGCCGATCACACCTTTAGAGGTATAAAGCTGTACGGTACACGTTCCGTCATATCCGCGCAGCCCCTCCTGAATCTTCTGCGGCCTGTGCTCTCGACTCCACTCGTCAGTTGGGCACCAGGGCCTACGCCCCTGCGCACATGGCGACATCACCAAAGGTCACAGTCTTCCATAGACGGTCCGACCGCGACATACATAGCTATGTCGTTGGCGGAGCCGAAGATGGCGTAGTTCACCGCCTGAACGAGGAACGGCGGGCTATCCTCGCCGAGGTCGACAATGCCAGGTTCTCGTGAGTGCGCTTCCACGGTCCCGTAATTCAGCTAAGCGATACGTCTTCCTGGTTGTCCTCAGATGGTTCCACATCAAGGTCGCGTTTGTATCTGGTGCAGGGTTCTTCACCGATGCGTATGTTTTTTCATGACTACCTTCAGCGCTTCAGCGCGTCAGTGCATCTCACTGAGGGCGATCCTACTAGTTATGACATTTTCGCCATCAATGTTGTCACTGTTATGCTAGGTTACGTGTACGGCGATGGTATGTAATTGAATAGTCGCCGTCACGGTGCAAATTGTTTATGTCACTGTCTCGCTCCACAGAACAGGACGCGTCGGTCCCTGGAGTCGCTGGTCGCTCACTCAGCGCCAAGCAGCAGCTCGGCGTGAAGGTCGCTACGCCCATAGGTATCATCGTCGGCCAGTTGCTCTTCGGATGGCTCGGGGACGTCATGGGCCGCAAGCGGATTTGTGAGTCCTTCTCTCAACTTCCCGACGAAGGCCAGTACCGACGATTCGTTGTTTGTATTGACGAACAGACGGGTTGGAGCTGATGATCATGATTATTGGCACGTTCGGTCAAACCATCGCGGCCCCAAGTATGGCCGTCAGCTTCATTGCGTTATTGATCGTTTGGCGCACCTTCGTGAGTGCCCCTTCTCCAGGATCACGGTTGTCAAATCCCATACTAAGCAAATTCGGCACGAAGATGGGTATAGGGATAGGAGGCGATTACCCATTGAGCGCGGTCATCTCGTCCGAGTTCTCGTCAACGCACATCCGTGGACGTGTCATGACAGCGGTGTTTGCCAACCAAGGCTGGGGCCAACTCGGTACGTACTCTGTCACACAGTGCTCTATCACCCGAGGCTGAGGCAACCCCCAGCTGCAACGGCCGTCTCCTGCGTCGTCGTGCGCGCCTACAAGTCCAGCCTGATCTCCAACGGCGGCATGCTGCTCGAGGACATCGACCGCATCTGGCGGATCATCATCGGGCTCGGCTGCGTGCCCGCTGTCATCGCGCTCTACTTCCGGCTCACCATCCCGGAGACACCGCGCTTCACGCTCGACATCCAGCGCAACGTCGAGAGGGCCGCGCGCGACATCGACGAGTTCCTTACGCACGAGGGGTACACGGTCGATCTAGAGGCTGTCTCGAGGCGCCTGAGCGCGCAGAGGGCGACGAAGGAGGACTTCAGGCGGTACTTCGGGAGGTGGGAGAACTTGAAGGTGTTGATCGGGACGAGTTACTCGTGGTTCGCGCTCGACGTGGGTCTTCGTCCACAGTGTGCTCCCACTGTATGGCGAAGGTGCTGACGCGCCGCACCAGTTTGCGTTCTATGGGCTCGGCCTGAATTCGTCCGTCATCATGCAGGCGATTGGTTTGGTTCGCCGGACAAGAGCATTACAGGTGGGCTGGCGATATATCAGAGCCTCTTCAACACCTCCCTCGGCAACCTCGTCCTCTCCCTCGCGGGCTTCGTCCCTGGATACTGGGTCGCCTTCCTCTTCATCGACCGCTGGGGCCGCAAGCCGATCCAGCTCATGGGCTTCTGCGCCCTCACGGTGCTCCTCGTCGTCATGGGTACGTCCGCTCCATGTCACTGTGCTCCGCCCATCCATGCTGATGACGCAACGCAGGCTTCGCGTACCACAAGCTCACCTCGACGACGCGCGGGACCGCGTATTTGTCTTCCTCTACTGCCTCGCGAACTTCTTCCAGAACTTCGGGCCGAACACGACGACGTTCATCGTGCCCGGCGAGGCGTTCCCGACGCGCTACCGCTCGACCGCGCACGGTATCTCGGCGGCGAGCGGCAAGTTCGGCGCGGTCCTCGCGCAGGTGGCGTTCCAGTGGCTCAAGGACATCGGGGGCGCGAGGGGCTCGAATGCGTTTCTGGACCACATGTGCGTACGCGATGCACGATTGTGGAGAAATTGGCTGAGGGTCGGCGTCTCGTGTGGCTAGCCTGCAGATTTTCGGGTTCTTCATGTTGACGGGCGTCCTGTCGACGATGTTGATACCTGAGACGAACCAGAAGACGCTCGAGGCGCTCTCGAATGAGCGGCAGGACAAGTTCTTTCGGTTTCTTGGTGCGCCTCTCCCCGTCAGTCATCGGTATCTCGTATCTTATCGTTGTTCAACTCGCAGACCCGCGGCGGCGCTCTAGCGTCAAAACATTCGCCAGCGACTTCCCGCTGACCGCCATCAAGCTGAAGCCATTCCAGCAGACCCATGAACCCGAGCTCGACCTGGAGCCCCCAGACATATGCGTGGATCCCGCCGCATCGCCACGGAGACCCATCTTTGCACATGTAAATCAGGAACATGAGCGATTCGTCAGCTCACCATATCCCACGAGCCCCTCCAGCTCCTCGTTCAAGTATTGAGAGGCGGCTTTGATACCTATCTAGTAAGCTATTCGCCTTTCGGCACAGATGTCATCGCGCACGCTCGTTCTATCTCTGTGTATCTGGGCTTGTTTAGCGTTGGCTACGTCTACATTCGTTAACCTTGATCAGGCTGTACAACAGTTCTGTATCCTTTCATACCAAAATGTCTGTGTTGCATCTCATTGGCCGATATGTAATGATAGAGCTCATGTAATGTAGAGCAAGCCGCCTGTGTAGAGTAGGCAATGCAAATTATTTCCAATCTTCCATCGGAGGCCGTTGAGACGAACGACTTGATGCTGCTGCGGTAGCAAAAGTACCAGCCCCCATTGTAGCGGAAATCCCACAGGTTCATGCCCGCGAACCCACGAACTAGACCGCTCATGCCCACGTCAACAAAGATCCATTATCCAAGCTCGAACACCGAATGAGCATGCTAGGGATACCAATGATCTCCGGGTCGTGCCAGCCGACCTTTCAAAGGAATCTGTCGAGTGCCCGCGCGTTGCGATGCAGATCTGCATTTTGTGCCATGCCCTGTAGATCACGTGAAGTACAGAGCCAACGCGTCATTTTCGGACCTAACTTTTCCTCGTTCAAACGTTCATGACTTGGCCATCTCATTATATGTACATAGACGCCAGCTCACTGTTCTGGCGTTCAGTAGCAACGTGTTGATGACTCCGTTGCCAAGTCTACTTGAATGACGTCAACTACCAAATCGGGAGTAATATCGGTACATTGACTAGCGCCTGTAGCAGCAGGCAATGGGCTGCCCGCGAAGCTCCGCGAAGGCACTCTGCAAATTTCAGCAACTCGACCCGTCGTCTCGCAAAGCTTCGTTCGGTAGCAACCACAGATATTAGCTCGGACATCGACAGTTATGGCGACTGCTCCGGCACCGCCTGGCTCAGCGCCTTCCGAGTGGAACTGGCAAGCGAAGAGCCTTGGACAGACTCCAGAGGCGCTTCGACGGTACAAGAACAAACCAGAGCCCGACCTAGATGACTCGGACTACTACTCGGACAACGAAGAGATAATGAGCTTTGGGAGATATGCGAAGCGCATGCATGGCCGCGAACAAAGCCAACATCACCGACCACCCGGACACCCGCAGATCCTCGAGCAGGTGCAGGCGCTGAACAACAAAGTCACAGAGCTTGCTGTCAAAAAACGGGTGGGTTATGCTGCGCTCAGGAGCTATGCAGACAGGCCGGGAACTCTCGTCAAGGATTCCATGCACTCGTTCATGGGACATCCCAGTGGTTAGTGGCTCGTCCGTTCTGTCGAGAATATGTTTGATCTGCGGCAACTCACGCAGGGGACGCCCTTGCAACTCAATGGCAAACTTCATTGGGAGCTTATGGGAAGGCCGGCATGTGAGTATATGTGTGTTCACTACTGGTTGTCGGCGTGCTCAGTCTCTCTTTCAGCTCCACCCTCTGGGCGTACTATCCTACCCTGGATGAGACAGCAGCAGCCACACCCGGCATCTACGCGACTCTCGCGCTTCCGCTCCGGGATAGAGTTCCCTCTTCTTCAGCCCATCCTCTCGCGACCGCGGTCCTCCAGGCGCGCTGTGAAGTCTACGACGAGGCCATCTCTGAACCTTGCGAGCTGGCGCTTTCGGACAGCGGCGAATGCCTCGCAGTGGTCGCGCAAGGAGGGTATAAGAATCGCGACCCTGTGCTGCAGTACTGGCTCCCCAAGGCAGACGAAAAGCGAACAGAATGGCTTCACGCCGACACTCATCGAGCCGGGCTGGACATCGTGCTCGACGATGCGCGCAAGCTGATGTTCATCGCGGACAGCGACCGTATCAAGTCCTTCACGTGGGCGGATAAATCGGACCGTCCGGTGCACACGCTGAACTGCATGAAGACGCATCGGGGACCACTCGTACTCTTGCCTGGCGGCCGTCTACTTCGCGCCGGCCGGGGGTCCGCGCTGAGTTGGACGCTCGACGCGCTCCAGACGCACGGACGCGGCCCTAAATTCGCGCGGATGGCGCAGGCAAGTATAGCTGGGAGAACTGCATGTGCGACCGCGAGGACGAGGAGGAAGAATACAGCACGGGGAGCCTGCCGACCACGACGGTGCCCTTGCGAACAGTTCCTTCACCCCCGCGGTGCACGTGCACAAGCCCAGCGGGCACTTGCTCGCGGGCGAGGATTCGGCTGCGTCGCCTCGACCTCGAACACGGCGGTGCCGGCGGCGCGTTACCTTGGCCATGCCGGAGTGATCACCGACTTCTCCACTAGTGAGGGTGACGCCAACATGTTCTTGACGGCTGCGGGAGATGGCTACGCAAGGCTTTATGACCGCCGCAAGCCGCTGCCCGCCCTGACGTTTGACGTCGAGAAGTGTGAGGCGCCGCTCTGGCTGCGGCCCTTGCGCATGCCGACGGACTCCCAAGTAAGCGCTCCTCTTCCGTTGTCCCGCTGCATTGCATTTTGACCGCCTGTAGTCATGTTCTCCGGCGGCAACAAAACGGAGGGCATCAAGTGCTGGGATGTCCGCGCCAAGAAATGCGTGTACGAGCTCAGCACGGGGAACACCACCGTTACGGGTATCGCCTGGTCACCCACGCAGTCAACGCTCTACGCCGCTACATCGTCCGCGTATCTCGACTGGATCGGATGCTTCTCGGACTACCGCGACTTCCACATGCCTCAGGGCACGGACATCATGCCGTCGAAGAGCATTCGGACCGTGTATTGGCCTGACCGCGCGATTCATGTTGAGAATGCTTTTGGGTATGCGTATGACGCGGGGACCCATGCTTTGCGTGAGTGTGCTCTGCGGTGTGCTGTGTGCATGGGCTGAACACTCTTGCAGTGAGGTACGCGTTCAAGGAGAAGCCCGAACTTGACGTGCTGCCAGAATACGGCGATGGCAGACCGACAGACGAGGATGACTTTTTCTTCTGACGTGCTGATATCTACCTTTCTCGAATGTATCATCTGTCTGTGCTCGATCTTCGCGTCTTCGCGCATTGTAAGTCGTCAGCTGTATTGCTATCGCCGTACTGATAGCCCAGTGCTTGTATCTTGATATTATTGTACCTCGTCTTTCCCTGTACCATAGAAAACACAGTGTAGAATGAATGGCATGGGAGCTGCTGTGGGGCACCCTCACTCCAATGTAATATGACACATAGGTTTCCCCTCAGCCTGGCCTAATTAGCTGTCAATGGCCCTCGCAATGGTCCGTTCGCATTTATAGCTATCGTCCGATGTATCATGGCTGTCTGCGCTACGAATTGCCACGTTGTCAGTTACACTTGCAGCTCCTTTCAGCCACGGCACTTCACCATCAGGAGCATTGAGGCGACATAAGCACGTTCGTCTGTCTAGTACCCATCGTCTTCCGTTGCCCTATCCGACCACCTCATGCACATGTTGCACGCGCGAGAATTTAAACGAGTAATTGACAGGCAAGTAGTGTCATGTCTTCCGACCGGGCCGCAAGCGACACAGGTCCGATTACTTATAGTCTGACGCACGGGGCTACCTCTACGCAATGCACGGAGGAAGAGTGACACCAGCCACGTTGGATGCCTTGAACACACCATGTATATGTCTGACTGCGGCGGGCAAGACGGAGAGCCATGCTATGGAATTACCCATGCGCCCGTGACAATCGTGGCACCTGCAAGGAAGCGAGGGCCAGTCAGAATTCCTACTCACTGGGCCACTGAGCTCGACACTGGCATTCATGCGCCGTACAGATCTCAGCAGTGAACACGGGAGAATATGTCCCAAGGCAGGTACGACAGCGGAGTCCAGACGAGACTGTTCTTAGAAGACAAGCATTTCCAGTACAAGGCTACAACCATAGATGGAGATGTGCTGAATTGTCAAGCCGGGTCCTACACCTCTACAGGCTTGGACTTTTTCTGGGAAGACCAAAGAAGGTGCTTAGCGAATGATTCAAAGCCGAGAGACGAAGACATACATATGCGACGGCACCGAAGTCGTAGTTGATGCCCGCCTCCTCCAGCTTGCGTTTCCGCTGCGCTTGGCGCTTCAACAGCCGCTTTCTCAGCTCGCTCTTGCTCTTCTTCGGTGCGAGGCTGCATGCAAAGTTACAAATATTGCGAGACGTTGCAAGGCGATCGACGTACCTTGTTGTGCTGCACGCGTGCAATGCGATCCCTCGGGATGACACGCCACTTCTTGTTCGCACCGATCCAAAGCTCGGAGTGCACTTCATCCTTGGGGATAATCTTGCAAGTGAGGATGTGCCCATGAGCAAGTAGTTGTCCATCGTATCTGCGACGATCTCCGCGACAGAGGACGAGTCGAATTCGATGAAGGCGTAATGTTTTGAGCGACCGGTCTGGAACGGGGCGACAGTTAGCCAAAGTATGCCACACAAAAGGTAGAACTTGCCTTCTTATTACGCGATAGACGCAATCGCGTACTGTGCCGAACTGGGACAAGTACTGGCGCATTTGGTCCTCGTAGAAGCCGTGAGGTATCCGGCCGAGGTAGATGACACCGCGGTCTACCGTCTGTCAAACTTCAGTTCTGTGTAAGTTGCAGAACGACGTATGAACATACCGGATGCTTTTTGGCCTGATCCAGCCTTTTCTTGACCACTGCGTCGTCCTTCGCAATGGTCGGCAGCTTCGTGACGTCGATGCCGTCCCACTCATCCCCATTTCCTCGTCCGACGAGTCATCATCATCGGTAGAGAACCCGTATATGTGGTCAGCTTCGCCATCATCATCTACATCCTTCTTCCTGGTTCCTCGTCCTTGTCAGAAGCAGACGGCTCAGGCTCGGGGGAAGTGCTTTGCGCTTCTTCTTGTCTTTCGGTTTGGACGAGATGGTGGGGTGAGATATGCCTATGGGAGTGGCACTCGGCTCTTTGGGTGCCTTCTTCGACGGCTTCGGTTGGACCTCTTTCGCAGGAGCCGCCTCTGAGACTTTCGCGCTCTTTTCCTGCTTGGAGCTCTTCGCTTCGGGGAGGTCGTCCTCCACAGGCTCCCCTCCTTCTTCGACTTACGTCCCTTCTTCGACTTCGCTCTCTTCTCTACCTCCGTGTCGGCCTCTACCTCCAACCGCGCTTCCTTTCCCTTGCCTTTCTTCTCTCCGGCGACAGAGCCCTTGTCTACAGCCCCGGCGCCCTTCTCCTTCCGCTTTCCCTTCAGTGACGCAGCACCGCTCGAAACCTGCTCATCAGCGAGCTCCTCCTGTTCGCCCTTGCCCTTCTTCGCCGGTGCCTTCTCCGCGACAGGAGGCACCTGGGCTGGCTCGATTGGCAACGCATCCGCCTTCTTGGACTTTTTGGGAGCGGCTTCAGTTGTCGTCGCAGGCTGCACGCTCGTAGATGTGCTCGGAGTATCGTCCGCTCCTGCTTGTGACTTTCTCTTTCGCCTCTTCGAGTCCGCCTTGGGCGACTCCACGGCGGGAGCAGGCACTGCAGCTTTTGCGGAGATGACCTCCTTGGACTTCTTCGTCTTGAGTTTCTCTAGCAGGCCTGGTGCCATGATGTGACTATGCAGGAGGAGGACGGTGAGGATGATTCCAAGGCCGGCGCGAGCAGTGGTGGAGATTATTTGTCCCGATGGGATCTACAGCAGCCACATGGGATTATTTACCAAGAGCTTCCGATCCAAACAACCGCTTCGCCTCTTTTGGCAACTCCGAGTTTACTCAACGCTTTCGCCATGTTCACTCGGTTTGTGAACCCTCATTCTCTTGATGCGAAGGTTGAGATTGTTTCACGGGCACAATCACTGCAGGCGATACAGAGTCGGGGAGCGGGGCTGTGCGTGATGATGCACTGTTGACCGATTTAGATCGTCTGGTGAAGCGTTCGTTGGGCGATCTTGGTACTTCCGAAGATGCCGACGAGAAGGCGCGGAGGAAACGCAGAAAGACGGAGAAGAAACACGCCAACGACGCTCAAGAGGAGAGCACAAACTCCTTGACCTCCATACGTACGTATGTCGCGAAAGACTGTCCGGCGGCACTGAGCAGAGTAACATTGTAGCGTTTCGCCTTGTGTCGCGGACTCTCCCTCCTAAAGAAATCGAGCTCAAGCCGAAGGAAGCCCCAGTTATTGTGTTAGTTTTTTGGGTGTCCAATCGTATCGCTCGTCACTGATTCTCCGACAGTGTGAGGGAGCCGCCGTGTGAGGACAACGAGGATGAGGCAGCACGTCGTGGAGCTCGAGCACAAGAGGTTGCAGTACATTTCGCCCAGATAATTCACGAGGCCCAGAGGTTGAGTACTGTTCGTGTCTTCTCCCCTTTTTTGTTGTAGGAAGGCACTCAACGTTCGTCCAGAGTCATAGAGTGGAGGCCAGAGGAGCAATCCATATGAAAGGCAAAGTCTCGTCGCCCCCGCCACCGGTCATGGTCGTGGAATGGGACAAACCTCCGCCTAAAACACCGAAACTTGCGAGTGCAAGACCCTTCGTAGAACTCCGGCCATCGCCGCATACACTAGGACCTAAATCAATGTTCCAGTAATCGCGGTAACCACAGCGTCGGCGGAAAGCAAGACAAAGACATCAAGAAACATCCGGCGAGCACGAGCAAAGGCGCGAACAGCCCAACCACGGCCCCCAGCGATGTTTTGGCGGCCACTACGGGAGTGGGGTGTTCAAGCCGCTGGTTACTCAGTGGGCTACGAAGGCAGCTGGCCTGTCTCGCAGAATGACCCTTCACGCTACCAATACCAACGTGATACGATGCGGAAAGGTATATTTTCGACGGGGCAGTGATGACCAACGCGCTACAACGTAGACTTGTAGGGTACCGCTCTGCTATAAATACAATCCCCTGGGTATCTATCGATACAGGCTGACAACTCGTCCGCGTCTCATTCTATACTCATCTCGTCAGCGTCCTGCTGGTGTGGGTAGTCTCTCGTAGCGATCTGTTTTCCCTTGTCCCTGTCTCTATGCTCCCGCATCTTCTGCGCCCACTCTTCCTCGCCGCCAGGCATGCCCTTGCTACCGAACGGTCCCACCTCTGCGCTAGCCTCGAGGGCAATTTCGAGCAGCTCCAGCACTGGGCCATTGATGGGATCGATGCTCACGTCTGGGGGTATTGTGAGTGTGCGTCCAGGTGCCGAGGACAGAATTACAACGCGTACCTCATGATACTTGACGATGGCGCCGTCGATGTCGCCGAGCAAGTGACATGTCACGCCGAGGAAGGCCACTGCCGTCTGGTTGCGTGGGTCCATCTTCACCACTTCTTGGTACGCTGCTCTGGCTTCTTCCAGACGCCTGAAGATACCACCAATCAGCGCCACCCGCAATAAGTGAGGCGTCAACCTACCCGAGCTTGCGATACGCTGTACCCAGGTTTAGATACGTGTTCATCCATGCCCGCTGCGAAGTCTGCACAATCTTCGCTAGTTCCAGAGCACTCAAGAAAAGTGTCACGGCAAACTCGAACCTAGACATCCATGTAAGACGCGAACGTCTGTGAACGTAGGACACAAACTTACTCTCCACGATGGAATGCCAGCACGCCGCGCTCATTGGCGAGAAGTGGGTCGGCGTCGCAGATCAGATTCGCAGCGGTGAACGATTCGTCAGCCATCTGAAGATTGGAGAGGCTGATGTGTTCCATCCCGACGAACATGAGTGGAAGGTGTGATCCGGTGAACAGACGGGTGCAGGTCGAATACGCGGTGATTGCATGGTCGTGCTCGCCTTCGTGTGCAAACGTGTGCGCGAAAGCAATCCACGCCGGCGCGAAACGTGGGTCCATGAGCGATGTCTTGCTTTGGTCCGGGTTACGCACGTCTTAGCTCACATATCGCTGTGCTGTGAATGGGATCGGGCACACCTGAAGTACGTGCGGGCCTCGGACCACTTGCCCGATGACAAGTACCAGACACCGACTGCATACCAGCTGATTGGAGATTCCGGCTCTCGCTCAACTAGCTCGTGTGCAAGGATGAATAGCTTTGAGTTTAGATGGGAAAGATGATGCATGCAAGCGAGGTGCAAGGGTAGAGTAGGCGCATGGATTGTGACAAGGCCCAATATCCTGACACAAGGCTTCGTCAGCACGACCAACACACCTGCCGGAAAGAGCGCATACCGCGAGGTGACAGTGAAGCAGTCAGCGAACCTGAACTGCATATATAATGCGTCCGCAAAGCTGTACAGAACATCAGGGTTGTCACCGAGGCCATAGTCGTTGACCAGCCGTGTCCTCGCCAGAGCATGCTCCTCGGCGTGTTTCAGCTTGCGTAACCGAGAAGTGTACATAAGACACATGAAATCAGCATCTTCTGGAGTTTGATCCTTGTAAGCGAGGCCTTGTACAAACTCCCACTCTTGATCTCTGTCAGTACTTATGCTCTATGCCGCGAGAAATGTGGGTACCTTCATCTGGAGACATCATCTGTCCATCTATGAGTTGTTGGAACGCTTCGAAACATTTCACGTCAAAAGGAGTGCCTCCATGAAGCATGCTTTTGCTTGGTCTCCCCGGTTCAGCTTGAGCATGAGCAGACCGCGCAGGTGGCACATAGAGGCTTCGATCTGTGAGCGACGTCAACTTGACCCTTGGACCACGCATAGAATACATACTTTAATCCCACCGTCCATGTTCGGTACGTCGGGCCCACTCCTCCCCGACTCGCGGAATGGATTCGCCTCGCCCAGTATCTCAGTGGCCTCGTTCCACTTCCCTTGCCTCACCTGACACTGCGCACACAGATACCGACATGCGACGCTCATGTCTACCAGCCTCGAGACGCCTTCCTGGTAACGAGCAGCGACGTCAATGAGCTCGCTGGGCCCAATAGGGAGGCGCTCCATGATGGGAGCGTTTGCAGGTGGTACAGGAAAGGGTACTTCTTTCTCTTTACCCTTCGAGCTGTTCATTCCAGACTGGGCATGCCCATTCATACCAGCGGGTTGGTACGTACGCTGAGGAGGACCAGTGGGGAACGGACGCGTGAGGAGCCGTTCGGCCCGTGAGTACTGATGTGTGAGGAAGTACGTTTGAGCGAGCCAGAACGCGTCATTCGGGTCATCTGCGCGGGTGAGTTATAGCACAGAACGTAGGAGACGCGTCAACGACTCACTTGTCCAGTTCACAATTTTGTCGCCCCAGAACGCCGCGGTCTCGTACAAATGCTGCATGAGCGCGTCGTGTCTCCACAGTCGCATGCGGTCCACAATCCCAGCTTCTGGCTCTCCCTCCGCATCTTCGGCTCTCATGTCCTCATCGTCTTCGAACACGTCCGTTGTATCATTCGCGAGCGGGTGCCTCGAGGTACTGAACCTCGCTCTCCGTGTGAGATGCGGCGAAGAGTAGAGGGGAGACGCCTGCAGGATAGAGCGGTTGGGGTCAAGCGCAAAGGAATGAGGGTGGGAAGCAATGCTGGTGTTTGCCTCCGCAAACGAGTTCACGAGCGACTGTGGCCCAAAGGAGAAAGACGAGTTGAGAGAGTGCCTTGGACGCGATCCCGAGGGCGAATGAACCTGGGCACAGAAGACGGAGTAAAGCTGCTCCCCGGAGGTGGCGGAGAGCCCATCATGCTGGCGTGTTACGAGAGGACGGATGGTGGTGGCGGACGAGTGGCGGGCGCGCGAAGGACGCGTGAAGGGCACGTTGAGTCTCACGTGGCGGCGTTTGTTAGGATCCAAAGCTCTTGCCAAACAAATGGCCCGTTTGGCGAGCGCTCTGTGGCGATCGATTCCTCCACGTGGCGGAGCAAAAATATGCATAGCCGCCGCAGGTGGTTTTCATTTCTCCCCTTATCGATGTCGAGCAATCGTATAAGTACCGTCGACGGCCCAGGCACTCGCCCTCGTCCACCATCTGGTCTGGCTGCTCGAGTCATATTCCGCGCGAGTCAATTGTGTGCTGAGTCGACACCATATGGCTGGTCGTACACCGCTCTATCTGCGCTGCTTCGACCAGGCATGTTGAGTCGGTACGTATTTCGTTAACAGCCTATGTCTCAGACGGCTCGTGGGCACCACATGAAGACGGCATCATATATGCGGTAAAGTAGCTATCACCACTAATATGGGAGCAACGAACAGACAGTAGAAATGGGGCTGACACATCGACACTCCACGGAAACGGAGCAGACCAGATGGCTATAGTACAACAGGGCAGGGATAGGCGAGCAGGTCGAGTCCAGAAGTGTCCATAGGGTAATCAAGAGTGGATATCGAAGCATCGGTGCGTTCTCTTGTTGTCCTGTACTCTATAGCATTGATTGGAGGAGGTGCAGGGGTAACTGGTCTCAGACACTCACCATGGCTCATATAGATATCGTAGCCCTGAGACCCATCGCCCGAGCCCCAGCACCCACAGCACCCTCCCAGCCTAGGAAACGCTCGCCCCCGAGATATACTCAGCCTCCTCGTCCATCTCCTCGTTTGCGGATGACCACTGAGCATTCCGCGGCCGACGCGACCACACGGTAATGAACAGCACACGCTTGAGCTTCCTGTTGTAGAAGAAGTAGTGGCAGCTCCACAGCAGAGGACCGCGACGCCGCATGCGAACGCGGGTCGGTGAGGGTATCCGGAAGACGAACTCCTCGCTGGAGGTCGTGCGCCACTGCTGGGCGACATTCGCCCATCCGCAGGTATCCGTGCGAGGGCTGGCCGCCCGCCTCATCGACGTCATAAGGGTCGGCGTCGAAGAGCAGCTCTTCCTCGGAGGATGCCGAGTCCTCCTCGCCACAGAGGCGACGTCATCATCGTCGTCGTCGTAGTCGTTGGCATGCGGGTCGAACTCGACCATGCTTGGTTCGTACGAGTAGACCTCGCACTCGGCGACGCCTATTGCGTCGTCGATTGTGCGGTAGAGGAAGGGGTGCGTGCCCGAGACGGCCTTGGAAGGTGCGTTCGGGCTCTGTCGCATGTAGTCCATGGGCGACGAGGACGTCGGCATCGAAGAGGGGAACATTCCAGGTGCAGAGCGTGGGTAGGAGGAGTAAGCCCGGGGTGCGTGGGTGCCGCGGTAGGTGAGGAGCGCCGTGCTGAGTGAGTTCAGCACGTCTGCGGGGTCCTCCCGGTGGAAGTCGCTAGGCTTCACGTCTGAGAACTCGTGGTCGGGGTAGGCGACATTGAGCATCGCGATCACGGTGTGGAACGTCTTGCGCGCGTTGGGGTCAGACATTGGCCCAAACGCGGTCGACTCGTCGAGCGCGATGAAAGACGGTACGGGTGGCGAGTTGGAGACCTCGTCGTTGTATGCGCTCTCGAGCTGGCGGAAGAGCTTCTTGTCGCGTTTGATGTTCTTGCAGCTGTATGCCTCTACGCGGGTGCGCACAGAACATTCGGCTCCATCGTGGTCGAGGCGTGCGCAAGGCGGGAGAGGTCAGGTATGTCAATGTACTTCATCGGGCGGTCGTGTCGAGCGAGACGAGTGTGCCGTTGGATGCGTCGTGTCCGGATGCCGTCTTGGGGTGAAGTGTCTCTTGCAGTTGGAGTTGTTGCTTGCCAGCAAGGCAGTGGAATGGTATGCGTCTCGGATAAAGGAGTGGCGGAGCGCTGGGAGTTGGCGCGACGCGCTAAACGCGGATGGTGGCAGCCACGGTCCTACAGACTGCCTAATGCAGACCAAGCCGGTGTATGTTAGCCACGCACGTTCCAACAGACAGCCTCTCCCACAGCTCGCAGCCCGCCGATCGCCAGAACTGGAGCTCGCTACAGTCTATCTATGCTCATAGACTTGCTAAAGAGAAGATGGCACTCGCAGGGTTCCGGGCTCACGTTTGTCAGATTGCTGTGCATGCGTCGTGACAGTGCATCTCCGATTTCGAACACGAAGTTGACTGCGCACAAGTGGTAGAATGCTGTAGTCAATCCGAAGCCTGACTTGTGTTCACATGCCTCAATACGAAGGCATGAAGTCAACTCCCATACAACGGACCCATGCTCGTACAACGCCCTTCTCAAAGCGATGATAATCAGGTGCTCATCGCACGTCCTGCAGCTCTATGTCCTCCGGTATTTGCTCCACAATGGGAACCTCAGAACTCAGAGCCTCGCTCCCTGACATGCCGGATGACATATACGGACTGGTCGCCGCCCTGAAGGAACTCGAGGTTGCGTTGAGGGGTCAGAGTACCAGTGATGATCGAGTGGCTCGCCCATGTTGCCGATCACGCTCGTGCTCCATCCCATGGATTGCAGATAGAAGACATGTCGGAGGTTCAGCATGAACCGTGAGATTAGGATGGATGAGATGCTGTGGGTGGAGTCGGTCAAGGAAGTCCAGCGCAGATTTTAGCGTAGACTTACGGGGCGACGAATACAGAAATGATTTGTAGCAGCCTGTGAAGCGTGAGCTGAACATTCCTCGTCGCACCAATATTCAACACATACGCCGTGTACCGATCTGAACGCCATTTGCAGAACATTGAGTAGCAGCAATGAGCTATGCACCAGCAAATCAGTCGTTATGCAGTGACTCGTCATTGTCAGGTCGAGACATACACGAAATATAGCGAACCTGAAGAATTAGATTCAGCAATCGACTTTCATGTCACCGGAGACATGCGTGGTTTTGGGACCACCGCAAATGCGGCCTGAATCAAGCCTGAATCCAACCGCAAATTGTGATCGATGAGACCCAATTTTGGGTGAGCAAACATGCCAGCCTAAATCGTAGATATGGTACGAGGTATGGGCATGCCTCATATCTGATAGCCCAAATGAAGCAAGTTAGCCCGTCGAAAATCAGTAAATCAATTCAATTGAGGAGTTTGCGGCGGGCAATCACGCTTCATTCGGGCATGGCATACCCCAAGGCTCCCCCATATCCCCCATCCTATCCATCCTCTACGCCGCCGAACTCCTGGAAATGTTCCAAGAGAAAGCCCGCACCCATGTCGAAGCAATGACCGCCAAGCTCAAGCTCCCCGACAACCCCTGCGAAACCAGCCTGATCATGTTCATCGACGACGGGAAGATCTACGTCTCGTCAGAGTCCCTCGACACAAACATCCGGATACTCACCCTGGCATACAACGACGTAGAGGCCTGGCTGACGAGCGTCGGGCTGTCGCCCGACCTCGTTAAACGAGAACTCATGCATTACTCGATGAAACAACGCAAACCAAACGACTCACCGTCAATCACCCTACCAGGAGCAAACGGCATACGCATAACCATCCAGGCAACACACACGACCAAGTGGCTCGGAGTCCACCTGGACCGCCGCCTAAACTTTGACCACCACGTTAAACAGATGGCTGGACGAGCGGAGAAGACCGTAAACGGCATGGGGATGCTCGCAAACACGGTACGAGGGCTCTCCCAAGAACACCTGAGGACGCTATACACCGCATGCGTACGTCCAATACTGACATACGCGTGCCCGGCCTGGTGGAGAGGCAAGAAGGCACACGAACACGCACTGGAGAAGGTACAGAACCGAGCACTGAGACTCATCTGTGCCGCCTTCAAGACGACGAAAATCGTGGCGATGGAAATCGAGGCCGCTATCCTACCCATCCGACACCACTTAGAACTCACGAAAGACCGCGCCGCCATAAGATTCAACAAACTCAGCGCCCACAGCCCGATCATCCGACGCCTCCCAGAGGGATGGAACATACTACCAACCTCGACACCAGCTCCCCCGCGTCCCACTCACCGCAAAGTGACAGCCCGCCGCAAGACACCCCCTGCCTCCACTCGACTCTGCAACCTTGCGAAGAGATCGGACCCCAGCGACGAGCGCATAGTGCCGCTCGCCGTACCGCCATGGAAGAAGACCCCGGCCGACTTTGGAGGCCGACTGGTGATCACGCCGGCAGTCAAAGGAGTGACGAAGAACGAGGCAATGAAGATGCACAACGGAAAGTTAAGCAAACTTAAACGGTCACGAGAAAATGCGATGATCTACTCTGATGGCTCCCTACTCACAGAGAACGGCCAACGCCGTGCCGGCGCAGGCTTTGTCGTTGCCCAGCAGAACAAGATTCTATTCAAGAGGATAATAGCCATGAGCAGGAAATCGGAGGTCTACGACGCGGAGATGCTAGGACTAGCAGAGGCGGCCGTCGACATGGAAGAATACCTCCAGTGCGACGACGCTCGAGACATCAGCCACCTACACTTCTTCGCCGACAACACCGCAGCGATCTCAGCCATCTTCGAGGCGAAACCAGGCCCCTCGCAGATCCACTCGATAACCTTCAGGAATTTCGCCATACGATTCCTGGAAGCAAGCCCCAAACATCGAATCACAGTGGCGTGGACGCCAGGCCACAAGGGCATCGTCGGAAACGAAATCGCAGACGTACTAGCAAAGAAAGCTACGGAGGAAGAAGGCCCGAACCAGTACGCGACACGAGCCAACGCATTGCGCAGAGCGAAAGAACGTGCAACGAACGCGTGGATAGACGAGTGGAAAAAGACACACCCAACAGGCCACTTCGCAACAGCGAACCGTCTACCACCACAAACCAAACCAAGAAAACCCTTCCTAACTCTTCCACGAGAGTTATTCGGACGTACGCTCCAATGCCGAACGGGACACTGCTTCATAGGCGAGTACTACAAGTCGTTTGTACCTACTGAACCGGTCGACTGCCCATGCGGCGACCCATACCAGTCACGCCGCCACATCCTCCAGGACTGCCCACGATACGAGAAGCACCGACACATCCTACGCGCGGTGAGCACGACGATCGACTTGCCGACCATCCTCGGCACAGAGGAGGGGATAGACGCCCTTGCGAAGTTCATCGGAAAAAGCAACGCGTTTACGAAGACGGGAGACCCGCCAGGCGGATGGCGCGAAGAAGACCAGGACCAGGAAGCGAGAGAAGAAGATGCGGAAGACGAAGACGACGAAGACCCGAGCGGAGAGGAAGACCAGGACCAGGACGGAGGAGAGGCGGAGAACGACGAGGGCGAAGAAGACTAAACGGTACTAGCTGCACGGCGAAGTACCGTCCCCACACCCTACCCAACACCACCATCGACACATCGTGCACTAGGGGGCAATCCCGGCTTGCGCCCCTAGGAGAAAGACACCGGAGTGCCGAGATATGGACCGTATGCTTTCCCCTCATTTCTCGCTTCTTCATTATTCTCTATCTTTATTACCATGCGTGTTACGTCCCGACCTCAGACCACACCATTAGACCCCGTCTCACAACCCGATTAGATTGCCTGCCCATTACTATACACACATCACGTCTATAGACTACTATACCACCTCGAACGGGACGCAGGTCTGGGTGGCGCGTTTTAACGCCCACATTTGTACAGGCCGGCGTCCGCCGCGTCTTAGCACGTTGTTTGCTTGTTGCGGTTAATAAATGCTGAGTTCATCATCATCAACGCTTCATTCGGGCAATTCAATATCAGATATGCCCAAATGCGAGCATAAACCTAGCATTTAGGCTAGCGTATGAGACCACCTAAAACCCCGTCTCATCGGTCACAATTTGCGGCTGGATTTGAGCCAGATTTGAGACGACCTCAATCTGACCTATGTCTCCGGTGTGTATACCAGACGACGTACCATCCAATTGCGCAGTAGAGGCGTCGTGGCATCAAGGCTCGTCGATATGATCCGCCGTGTTCTCAACGTACCGTATAGCGTAACGGTAGCAGAACAGACGTACTTGCGACGATGATGTACAACCTGATGCAGAAGCCGGCGTTCGCGTGGGGTCCTTGTTTGGAAGAAGATGGAGTTGCCGTGAACTCATCGCCAGTCGGTCGCCAGATGGCTGAACGGGTGGTCGATGTGTAGACGACCCTCGCGTTCATGCTGTCTGCCCACTGTGTATGCTCTTTCGTAACGTTGCCAACCTTGTTGTTGTCACACTTTCATTCGATGGTATGAACTTGTCGGTGAAATTCGTCTTCAATGAAGTGCAGCTTTAGGCCATCCACTTCCCAGCGAACCCGTGCACGACCTGCACGCCCGACCTCCAATGACGCCATGTAGACTCGAGAGACTCCCAAATCTTTCTGCAGACGGTCTTCGCTCTATACCGCCACGTCGATATCCGTCGACATTTCATACACGACGTGCGCAAGCACACTGCCGAAAACGCAGATCTGCCATTAGCAACAGGCAACTGATGAATGGACAGAGATGGTCGGTCAGATAGTATGGAGAACTCATACTACCCCTAGATGGGGTTTCAAATACCAGATCACTATCCGACCACATGCAGCAGATCGGAGGCGGGGTAGTTGGCCAGGCATGTGTCAGATATTGCGTACAACGTGCCACTCAGGTCCCGTGGTGGTCGTATTTATGGCCAGCGTCCTACTGACAATGCTACTGCGTCTCTCCGGAGGGGAAGCTATTACTTACTTAGTGTACTACTTGTGACAGCAGCCGCATCACCATCATGATGCATGCGCCACGAACGCGCAGAGATGAGACGCCTGCTCCCGAGTTCCTCATCACATCGGAAGGCTCAAAGCAGAACAATTTGACAAAACAATGGCAAGCACGGGGTGTAAGAGGGTGTAAGGTCTCTAGATTTCAGGTACACTCCCGGCGGAAGCACGCACATGACAGTCGGCGCTGTGGGTTGATGATGGCCAGCACCTCATAGGTTTTCCTACTGCAGAATAAAGTGCAGCCCTCTGAGTGCCAGGACAACAATGCAGCTCACCAAAGCACGTGGGCCCATTTGCGACATAAGAGGGCGGAGACGATCCCCGGACCCCGGTGGACGATGGCCAGGTCCGATCTACTGTACTATTTCGACCATAGGTTCGGTCACAGGTCGCACCCCCCTCGAATATAGCTAGGGTTTCAGTTCACATGTCACAGGTCACAGAGGGGTCCGAACCAAGGATTCCCATAGGCGGTCACAGGTATACGCATGCATTTTCGGGCCTGCGGCGCAGTGCTAGCAAAGGCGGTCGCCCGCCGCTTGCCCCGGCCACCTGTGAACTATCCAAGTGCTGTGGTCACAGGTCACCAGACACTGTGAACTAAGTAGAAATTTCGCTAGTTCGTTGGTCACAGGTCACACCCCGCGAACCTATGGTCGAAATAGTACAGTATAATATCGTGATCCACAGCCACCGATCAGTGGCTGCGGCGATTAAATCGACCTCGCAAAATGAACAGGCCATATTTGGCAGGCGCAGTCAACTCCTCCCGCCGCGAGGCTCACATCGGCTCCTCGCACGCGGACTGCTCGGCGACACGCCAGAATACGTCTGGGCACTGTGTCTCGAAGGTCACAAAGATGGACCCCGCTGATATATCCTATATCAAATGACAAAGTACGTGGGTGTTTTAACCGTGGAGTACGGGGATACAGGTGACTAACGCTCGCCGCACTCTGCAGTATCACGACAGCTGAGTTTCATTAAGGGCGAAGCATTACGCTGCGGGAACGACTGAACCTTCGCTGGAACAAAAGTGGCATTGCTTCGGGGCCTAGCATGACCGAGCCTGTGCATTTCTAATCAGGACGTGGACACTGGCATGCCAGTCCCGGCGCGCCTGCAATGCCATGCATAGCCTCATCATTCGCTGGAGCCTGTTGCTCACCGTGAGTCGCGTCAGGATGCATCACTTTGGCATCAGCAACCAAGTCAGGGTTTCCTCTTCTGCTTCTCTTCGAATTCTGGCGCGTCTCGAACCACCCACCTACACTTGGCTGTGAAGTAACCAACTTCGCTCCCGGCCAATTTTCTCATATCTATTTAATGGTCCCGTCTCCAACGTTCGGCGCACCCCTCCTTTTGCCACCATGACTGGACTCAACATCCATCTCGACGGGAGCGTGGGCTGCTTCTTCGCTGGTATTCTCTTCTCGGGCATGTATGTAGAACAGCGGAGTGATGAGGCTGACGTAAGTACTGAGACGATTGTGCACGCAGATTGTACGGATGCACCTGTGCGCAGGTTTTGTATTACATCAAGGAATACCCAAAGGACTCGAGAGTACTGAAGCTTTTCGTACGTAACGTACAACCGCCGTGCAAACCTCATACCTGATTATTCTGATCTACAGGTCGCTTTTGTATGGTCGGTGAAGGTACTTGTTATTGCTATGAGCGGAATGTTGATTACTCCGATTCGGGCTGCAGGGTGCTGGATACGGCAACCACGATAGCAAATAGTCAGGTATGCTGCATTCTGAGAACTTCATTGCGACGACGCTCACGAGGTGATAGGTTCTCTGGTACTACACGGTTTCAAACCACCAAAATCCAGCAGCGCTTGACTACGCGCCCCGGTAAGTTTGCCTTTCTGCACCTGCTTCGCCTGCCCATGTGCTGGAATGCAGTATGCGTACAGGTCTTTCAGGGTAAGCGCACAATTATTGCACGAGGATGATCGCTGAACGTGGCTGCGTGCAGGCGCAATACAGTCTTTCGGTATGTTATCATGTCAGACACAGAGGGATCCCTGCTAAGACCTTGGCAGGCGATCTCTGTATTTGTAGTACAATGGTGAGAGTCGTCGATGCGGTCTTCCTCGGGATGCATCACTGATCGCGATACATCATCCCAGCCACTACTTGTCTACTATCTGGCGCAGTCAGTTACTCCTCTTCGTGAAGGGCACCTAGATATGTGCTCATGAGTCTTCTCAGTGCTGACAAAGAAGTGGTATCGGCTCCCTATGTTGTCAACGGCTGTTCTACTTTCTATTATTTCTTTGGGTACGTCCTTGCTCGCCGAGACCGCGACTCGAACTGATCACATTGTACTCAGCTTGTGGCCTCGGTCAGTGCCCGCTTTTCATCAGCGCACCACTCGTCGCTGAGCGTAAAGTAACCCATCGTCGCAGCCGATGTGTATATCACGTGCGTGTTGTGGACATTCCGATCGTATCTTGACTTACGCCGGTTACAGTACCTTAGATAATTTTGTCTTCGTTGCCTTCGCCCGGGTCAAGGTCGGTGACCATATTTTTTGATGCGGATCGTGAGACCCTGAAACATATCCTGCGCGGGCAGATTCCTGCCTATTTGCAAACCATCGCGGCTTGCATCACGGACGTCTTCATCACTGTCTCGCTGTGCTGGATATTGCGCGGCAACCGGACGGGACTTGCTCAGTGAGCATTCCTACTTCGGCGTGTGTACGGGCTTCCTTTGCTTACTGCCGGTGTTAGGTCGGAAAGCCGGATCTGGTGGTTGACATTCTCAATGGTCAATCGAGGCGTCTTAACGGCGTAAGTTTGATGTCGTCGATCATTCCGACGAGACGGATCGCTCACGATGAAACGACAGTGTACTACAGGTTGTCGTCCTTGTAACTGTGCGTGACGTACCAACCTCGTTTATGTGCAGTGTTTGACGGGGCGTCTTCTCTGCAGTATGCCGCCTTGGAGAACAGTAACGTTCTTCTATGGCTGGTCTTCCACTTCCCTGGCACACAGAGTTAGTCATCGTGTTTTTCTGCCAGCTGTCTTGGCCCTGACGTCGATGACTCCCAAGTCTACACGAACTCGTTGCTCGCTGTCCTGAACGTCAGGCACTTCGTGCTTAAGAGCAAACGAACACAGTTTCCATCTCTCAAGTCGGCTATACCGCTGTCAAAGGTCAAACGCACTGCAGCCGCGTACGTCAGTTAACTCTATTAATTCCACTTGCGCTGATCACTTGACAGTCCTGAGTATGGCGGCGGTGGCAGCAGTTACAGCAGCCAGCAGCAGCAATCTGTTCTGCCAACGGTCATCGCCATCTCGACTGATGTTCAAGCTGTCCGCGACGGCGAGGTGTAAATGGAGGGGGACGCCGCCGCTGGCTACGCAAAGTCGACGGCTTGGTGAGCATCTAGCAGCACAGGCTTCACGGTGCTAGCATCAACTCCTCGGCGGCGAAGTTCCTGGGCTTCGCCCCCTTCGCTTCACGAAGTCCCCTAGAAAGCATATGGGAAAGGGCAGGTTTAGAGGGGAGCTAGATGGAATCATCGATTCGTTTGCGAGGCCCCGAAATCTGTCACCTAGCAAAAGCTGTACTGTTATCCCCACCAATCCCCACTGGGTAATTAAGATCGTCCGGAGTCCATGTCATATGGCTAGCTGGTGTGGAGCGTGGACAAGCTGTGCACTTGTTTGCAGAGTTCAAGCAATACATGTACCAACACTACTAGTATTGTAGACGTCACTACAACCCGGGTGTCACGGGCCAACCGGTCACAGCCCGCCGTAGATGTGCAATGTCGTTCACTAGTAAGTAGATACATGCGCGCGTGCCAGTGCATCTACGATTCCGAAGACGAAGTCGACTGCGCACAAGTAAATGCTGTAGTCAAACTGAGACTTGATTTGTGTTCACATGCCTCAATATGACAGGCATGAAGTCAACTGCCATACAACGGACCCATACTCGTACAATGCCCTTCTCAAAGCGATGATAATCAGGTGCTCATCGCACGTCCTGCAGCTCTATATCCTCCGGTATTTGCTCCACATAGGGAACCTCAGAACTCAGAGCCTCGCTCCCTGACATGCCGGATGACATATACGGACTGGTCGCTGCCCTGAAAGAACTCGAGGTTGACGTTGAGGGGTCAGAGTACCAGTGATGATCGAGTGGCTTGCCCATGTTGCCGATCACGCTCGTGCTCCATCCCATGGATTGCAGATAGAAGACGTGTCGGAGATTCAGCATGAACCGTGAGATGAGGATGGATGAGATGCTGTGGGTGTGAGTCGGTCAAGGAAGGTCCGGCGCAGATTTTAGCGTAGACTTACGGGGCGACGAATACAGAAATATAATTTGTAGCAGCCTATGAAAGCGTGAGCTGAACGCATTCCTCGTCGCACCAATATTCAACACACACGCCATGTACCGATCTGAACGCCATTTGCAGAACATTGAGTAGCAGCAATGAGCTATGCACCAGCAAATCAGTCGTTATGCAGTGACTCGTCATTGTCAGGTCGAGACATACACGAAATATAGCGAACCTGAAGAATTAGATTCAGCAATCGACTTTCATGTATACCAGACGACGTACCATCCTTAGCCAATTGCGCAGTGAGAGGCGTCGTGGCATCAAGGCTTGTCGATATGATCCGCCGTGTTCTCAATGTACCGTATAGCGTAAGTCCTATCAGAAGGGCGTCCGCCAGGATGGCGCATACGCGTGTTGCGATCAGTGCTTTGGGATAGGTGAACACTTTATGAGTACTACGCTCTGCCAACGTGTGGGCGACGTACCACTGAAAACAGCGCAAAAGCCAGGTAAGAGTGTGTCAAACTTGTAGGAAGAGTAGGTACGTACTTGTTGAACGAATCCACGGAGTAGTAGTCCGTATAGTCGCAGACGGGCATATCGTCAATGACGAGAACGTATGCGTATGATGACCTCGCCGCGAAGTACTGCGGAGCAGCGTCAGCGCTGCTAGAGGACGCGACCATCAGGAATCCGTACAATGCTTGCAATCGCTATCGCAAGTCCTAGGCCTAGGGTAGCCAAGGTAAAGGTCCATTTGCGTCCGCAAATGGCATACGCTCGAAGGGCAGAGAATACTTGAGTTTCAGTCATCATTCACGACGAATGTACCAGCGTAGCGGAACAGACGTACTTGCGACGATGATGTACAACAAAATAGACACTACGTCATATAGCACTATCGTCGCTTCGCAGCTACCAGATGCGTTAGCCGGAGCCTTTCCTAAAAGACGATCGCATACCTCTGCAAGTGAAGCATAAGCGACAATCAGAAGGCAATAGTACATGAACACTGTGCCAAACTTACGAGAGGGGTGTCCCAAGCTACTGTCTGTAGAACGATGGTACTGCCGAGGATTAGGACCACATATCGGTTCAGAAGGAATATAAGAGTGGCCCCGGTAAGTCTTTGACCCCACACATAGCGTACTTCCTGAGTGATTGTGATCATGTGTTCGTGAAATATCATGGCTGGCGAAATCGATTCGATCAGGCATTTCCTGCATCGGCGTCTGTACTCATACTTACTAGCCGCCGCCAATTGGCAGCATGTGTTGGTGAAACTAAGAAAAATGACGCGCATCATCAGTCGGGGACCTGCTCTACAGGATGAAGGGATACAGACGTTAGCTTGAGCGCAGTGATGTCTGATTGTGTGACTTGCGGGTCGCCTGACGACATGGGGGATGCTGAAAGGAGGAAAGGATACAATGCCGCCGGGTGCAAGTGTGCTGCGCTCATCCTCGCTGATGTATATGAGCGTACACTGGCGTGACAGCGAGCGGTAATGGAGCGAGGCTACACTCAGCCGCAGTCGTCTAGATCGACATGATGCGGTTCTGGTCAGGGCAGGTCTCAGCGCTGCTTGTGTATCACGCACTCTATGAATGAAGCGGGCGGGTTTGACCTTGACAAGCCTGGGGTGCAGCTGGGCTTCAGCAACCGATGACACGAAAACCGCAGAGCGCTCTGATCTACGACGGCGTTAGAACAGAGGCGACATATCACCTGAGCTGTAATGCTGCTACACTCACCGCAGTACTTGCCTCGGATCTTGAGTGGCCTGTCTCTTCAAGACCGGCGTCGATCACAACCACAGGACGTGAGTATTAGGCGTATATGAACCCCTACGTGTAATTGAGAGAGCACTGCAGCGTCGAGGCTTGGCCTGGAGTCCGACAATAAGTACGAGATGGATCCGGGTCAGACGCTTCCCCACTGTCAGGAAGAGAATGGGCAAGGACTCTCCAGCGCTCGGCGGAGCGCAGTCACTGATCAGGCACGATAACGTCGAAGCTGCGTCGAAGAAGTTAGCGGCGGTCAAACGCCGCCAGCGGCCGCATGTCATTCAAGTTGCAATGTCGGCTATGTACTGACAGCGTCGGTGTTTGACCGCCCACTTGCCTTAGCGTACAAAACGCCACGCAGACTCACCTCTGCATTCGCGCAAGGAGCATCGGTGAACATGCTTCGAGGTCTCGACGGAGCTGACGCTTTTGAACGACCTGGGCCTCCGAGTCGGAGCAGTCTCGGGGCGCGCAACGCGGGATCAACGACCGATCAGATCTGCGCGCGATCACGTGACGCGTGTGGCTCAACCGAGTTACTGTTCAGGCTTCCACTTTCGAATTGTCGTTCCCTGCAGGCTCGTCCTATTTTTGTTCTTGATCCCGCCCGCTATCTCACTTTGGATGTGGCCCATCGGAAATTGTGCGAATGCCATGCCACATTGACTTCAAGCTCACGCCTGAGGTGACGCCGTGCTTCAAGTGCGCATATATATCATTATTCAGTTCGAAGGCAAGCTTCCACCCCTCGTGTGCCTAGTCCAACGCAACGGCGGTCCTGATTACAACACGCGAGCCAAGACACTTACAACCGCAATGACAGTATACAGCATCTTCGTCTGATGTGGGTTCATCAGGTACACAGATGGACGCAAGTAAGGCAACATCGTAGCACACTGTTCATACTTACGTCTAACGATACAGGGCCACGAGCACGGAGACTGGATCGATTTGGAAGACTCGCCATGTCATAGCACAAGTACGAGAGAACAAGTACACGGCGACGACGATAGATGCAAAAGACTCAAAGAGACGAAATACCTCAGTGAGGTCGACGATGTTTGGAACGGATTCGGCGCGAGTTGGTTTCCCCTCGCGCGCATGAAGCGGCACGAGGGTACTTATCCCGAGGACCACGTAAAGGTCCGCGCCCGGACGGTCGCCGCACAAGTGCAAGCGTCCGCCCGCCTCGAGGGCCTCTTGAAGGCTCTTGCTGCAGCCTCGCTTGCGGCGCTTGACGATGGCCCAGGACCCCCTTGACGCAGCCTCCCCTTGCGGCACTTGACATCGGCCCACCTTGACGCAGCCCCCGCTTCCGGCGATTGACCCTTGACGTTGCTATTGACGCAGCTCAACTTGCAGCGCTTGATGACCCGGATGGCCCACTCCTTGACGCAGCCCTCGCTTCCGGCGCTTGACCTTTGACGGACATTGACGTTGACGCAGCTCGTCTTGCAGCTCTTGAGGCAGCCTCCCTCCTTGCGGCGCTTGACTCTTGAGGTTGAAGTTGACGCAGCTCGACTTGCAGCGCTTGACGACGGCCCGTCTTGAGGCGCTTGACGATCGCCCGCCCCGACTTGAATCAGCCCGTTTGGGGCGCTTGAACCTCATGTTGACGCAGCTCCACTTGCAGCGCTTGACCCTTGCCACCGTCGCCCGCCACGACTTGAGGCTGCCAACCTTGCGGCGCTTGACGGCGGCCTCGTTGAGGCAGCCCCTGCTTGCGGCGCTTGACCCTTGAAGCTTGAAGCTTGAACACCTTGCACTGGAGGCAGCTCAACTTTCAGCGCTTGACCCTTGCATTAGCTTCGTCTCCCGCCTTGACGCAGCCTACGTTGCGGCATTTGACATCGGCCGGCCCAATGGAGGCAGCTACACTTGCAGCGCTTGACCCTGGAACCAACTGACGCGAGCGACGTTAGCAAGGAGCAACGGAGTGAACAGCCATGATTACATACTGACAAGCAAGCGAGCTGAGACCGAGAGGTGGCCTCGAGCAACGTCTTGAGCAGCGGAGTTGCAGCGCTTGACGACCCGGTCTTGAATCAGAAGACTTGACTATGTAGAGAATTAGTATTTGAGCGACGACGATGAAGGAAGACCTCCTCACCACTCACAGAATCACATAGGCTTGCGTTGATTCCAACAATCAGCTGAGCGTATACTAGACGGGACATATGGCGCAGGCGAACATGCAGGACACAGACGAGCAAGTGAGAAGAAACAATACAGAACAGGCTCAGCGACACGCTCTTAAATGGACGATCTTGCGGCTGACTGGTGGCTGGGAGTGACGGAGGCTGACAACGAGTGTAGCGGTGAACATCGAACAGAACTTGCGGCTGACGAACGAAGGCAACGCCAGGAAACGTCAGGATACAGTCCTTGACCGAGGAGTATAACATACCTTGACGAGTGGCGTTCAGGTGGCGTACACCTCCGGGGCCCGCAGCCTGAGTGGCTCACTACACGGCGAGGTCAGTAAGCGGGGACTGATATCCGGTAGCAGCTACGAGTACAAGACACAGGCACGCCCCGATGACATGACATGGGAGGGGGGGATCAGAGGAAAGGGAGATGATGGGACGAGAAGAAAGACGAACTGGGCGGAAGACGCGGATAGCTGCTTCCTTTATACGCGCGGGCGGGAGTGGCACACTTCTTGCACACGGCCCAAATCCGGGCATGGTCCACGGAAGCTCTGTTACACCGCCCTATCGATGTGCTCGGGCCAATCAATCACTTGCAGATCGCCTCATGGGACTTTGTGGGTCCACACCGCGTCCAAATGCGGAACAATGGACGACTGGAAATGGCAACTGCTTGGCACGCGCCGATCCGGCGCGTGAACAAAGCAGATCACACAATACCTAGACAAAAAAGAGCTTCGCAACGTCTGATGCGCAGTGTTATGGCTGCAGGCAGTGGGGACGGAGGGACGGATAAGATGAGGAGGATGCGGATCTGGAAGCACTCAGTTTCCCGCGGGCCGCTGGCAAGTGTGGCGCCCGAACGCGTCGATCTTGATCTGCGGAAGTGCACGGTCCGGCGTTACGCGCTCACGCGTGCTCAAGCGCTCAAGCGCTCACGCGCACGCGTGAGGCGGCCTGGCCCGGGCGGGGGGCAACATCCTCACCTACTTAGTCTGTTTCGCTCGACTCAGAGTGAAAGCACGCCTGCCAGTCGCAACTTTGGCAGCCTCCAGCTACGTGACTTCGCTGCCACAGACTATGCCCCTTTGAATCGGACTTGCGTCTGAAGCATGCTGTCGCGTGCACGGCCCGGGCTGGTACGGCATGCCATGCCATGCGGTGTAGCCAAAATCAAGACAGGGCCATGTCTACTACAGCTCTGATCGACTCTTGCATGACATGGTTCATGGTATGTAGCTACGAAGGCCAATAAGGCTGTGCATATGATACATGTTTTGGCTGAAGAACAGTATACTCCCTCAGTGACTTCACTGCTGCATCGACCACCCGACGAATCTGCCAATTGCCTTGGGCAATATCTTCTCGCTCTCGAGCTGGTCGAAAACCTTCTCAAAGCTCTCCCACGTATCGTGGTACCCCGTCCACCCCGCAGCTCTCGCCTTGCTCATGCTGACTATCACGTCGAAGTTGCGACCCAACACGAAGCCCGAGAACATCCACGTCGCCTTTTCGAATGCGTCCTTCTCAAGGCCCTCCCGCTCAGCGAGGCGTTCCCAGGCCGCCTGCACCTCCGGCTTCTGGCTCCACTTCGCGAGGTCGATCGTCTGCTCGATGTGCGACTGCGCTGTCTTGCCCTGTAGTCCTAGGGCCTTCGCCAAGAACGAGATCGGCGGGTTGTCCGCCATGGGCACATCCGACGCGTCCGGTGCAGGGCGCGAGAACTGGTCGCCGGGGACCGTCATCCCGTAGCGCGCAGCGAGCTTCGGCCACATATTCGACCAGCTCTCGACATCGCCGTTCACGACGTTAAACGCCTGGTTCTTCGCGCCGGGCGCGGTCGCAGCCCACACGCAGAACTCGGCGTGTAGCCGGCTGTACGTTAAGGAGTCGAACTTCTCGTAGAACGTCGCCCCGCCGGGGAAGGGCAGCCCGCCTGTGCCGAGTTCGCGGTGCACCGCGGCGTAGAGCCCAATCGACGCGGCAAGGTTCATGAAGTTACCTTTGGCGAAGCCGATGACTTCGTTTGGGTAGGTGACGACCCATTCGATGCCATGCTTTGCACTGAAGGCGTGCAGGCTGCGCTGTTGGCGATAGTAGAAGTTGGGTGGGTAGGGCGGCTCGGGGAGCCAAGGGTCAGATTCAACCATGGGAGTCTTGGCGCGACCGAGGTGGACGCCATACTGCTTGCATCCGGTGACCAAGACGATACGCTTGATATGCGAGACGGCATTGTTGATCTCGAGGGCTTTGAAGAGGTTCTCCAGCATATCACCTATACAGGTTGAGCCTCGTTCAACGTGACTCAGATGTTGGCAGCTCACCGTTGACTTTGGTATTGTCCTCCTCCGAACCCTTGAGTAGATATGCAGCGAAGAAGATATAGTCAGCCGACACGTCCTTCAGCTCCTTTGCCACCTCCTGCACATCCGCCGTGAGGTCGATGAAGTTATGGACAATGTTAGATGGGTATACGTCCTTCTTCGAACGCGAAAGCGCATGGACCGTAGTCCATTCTTGCGGATGACGTCCAAGCTCGTAGACAATCTCGCGACCGAGGATACCTGGACCAGCATGAATGACAAGTTGAGCTTTCGAAGGCTCACATGAGACTCACCAGTTGCGCCAGTGACAATTGCGGTCGGCATAGTGAGAGGTTTGCTGATTGTAAGGTCTGCAGTACGCACAAAGATGGGTATCGCAGAGATCCGATGTGAACGACCTTAAAGTTATAAGCTCAGACGAAGCGGAGAGGTGTATTCAGCAAGAAGCAGCGATGTTACAGCTGCATGTCGTCATAAGCTCGCCGCCTCCGAGACGGCATCCAAGACAGATGCGTTCTGACATTGACAACCTCGAGCGCGCATTTCGTTCGCTAGCATAGATATAAAAATCTATCGATACAGTTGACGTTTACAGCGATTTCTCAAATGCAATCAGCTCCTCCAGCTTCGTAGTGCTCGTCGGCGTCACGACCGCCGCACTGAGAGGCCCCCGCACGATCGTCTCTCCATACCCGAAGTGTTTCGAGACCACCGCCTTGATACCCCCAATGCTGCCCAGCTTGCCCAACTCCCAATCAGCGTGGCCCAGCAGAGCCTGGATCTTCTCTGCCTCCTGAATCTTCCCGGCCTTGTACAACCGGTACACCTCCATGTGCGCCTTCGGCGCTACGTTGGGGAGCGCGCCGATGAGGCCTGCACTGCCAGACACGAGCCCTTGCAGGAAGACATCGGAGACGCCGGGGAAGGTAGCGAACTTGGTGATAGGGACGGTCGAAGTGAGCCGGTGGAGCTTGCCGACGGTCCCGCAGGATAGTTTGGTACCGACAATGTTTGGGTGCTGGGCGAGCTCTCCGATGATGTCGGAATCCAGGTTCAGTCCAGCGGTGACGACCGGGAAATTGTACACCATCGTCGGGATAGGTGAGGCATCTGCAACCTGTGGAGAGTATTCAGTGTGAGGGAGACTGGGAGTTCAACGAGAGCACAGACATCTCTATGAAATTTCAGGATGTTCGCCGGTGTCATCTGGGTTGGCCATACAGAGGGTGTGAGGACAAGGCAGAAGGCAGCCCCCGCTTCCGCGGCGTCCTTGCAGAGCTTCTTCGTCTCGCGGGTCGATTGCGCACCGGTTCCCGCAATGATCACCACTTGTTGGAAGTCATTGTCATCGAGGGTCTTCCGCGTGATACGGATTGCCTCCTTCCGCTCGTCGTGCGACAAGTGCTGTGCCTCGCCGTTGCTGCCCTGGACGAGGATGCCTGTCACACCGCCCTGGCATCCCATGCGCTTGTCAGTTCGTGGCCATGAGCTCAGTCATCGCATGGCTGACCTTCGCCAGCCGGAGAACGTGTGCCTGGATAGCGGGCACATCGAAGTCCTCGTTCTCGTCAAAATAGAGAACAGCGGGAACGTACACGCCCGAAGGGGGAGGAGTGCTGTTAGGTGCCATGACGGGGTTGGTGTGCTATCTCGGATACGCCGTTGAGGCATTTCTGGCAGCCTCAGCTTATTATATAGGTATCGCATCTCGATTTTCATCGTGATAGAGAGTGTACGGAGGCTCACAGGTCCGCCGGCTTGCCGGCCCTTCCGCTGAGCACTCACTTGCGCTGAGCGATGTATCGTCTCATGATCACCCTTACTCCAGGAGTAAGTCCGAGCGTGTCTTTCGGAAGCCACTACCCTGCAATCTTCCCATGTATGACGGACCCAGTGAGTGGAAGAAGACCCATGCCGTGGTGTGCAAATGAAGGACTCAGTCAACGTCTGAGGCACTAGTTGCCAAAAGAAGGAGCAGATCCCGGCGTCGGGCTTAGTCAGCAGCGTGCAGAGTACGCGCATCGTCGCGGCAACACGCCCATCCACTTTCATTCGTTTGCGCACATTCCGTCTCCCTCCTCGCCGCCAGGAAGCTCGCATGCTGGCTCTCCTGCTACGTCCGCGACAACATTGACATCTCGCCCGGCTGTAGCCTGTGACACGGTCCAATGTACGCTGCCGTGCGCCGTCGCGTCTCCGCGTTCTCGCTGAAGAAGACCGTCGCCTATGGCTTGAAGACACCCTCTCGGAGACAGCTCGAGGCCTCCCGGCCTGCGCACAGACAGTTCACGACCTTCTTGACGTCCAACCACCTCCGTTCACGACCTCGTTATGCCCCGTCTCCAGCTGCGCTGCGCCATATGCATGTCCGCGCGCTCTCGTACTCGTCTATCCCTAGATTCGTGCTCCGGGCCTTCCGCGTCCCGATTGCCACTGCTACAGTAGGTGCGGGTGGCGTCACGTACGCCAACTACAAGTTCGAAGGTGCGTGTACTGCTCGTCTTGGTGCATACGGAGACCGAGTGATCTGGTTCCGCTGACAGAGTTCCGGAAGAAGTCTTCGGACTGGATCTCGAGTGTGCAGGATACAGCGACGGACCTGATTGATTCTGCATCCGACGCTGTCAAGTCGGCAAAGTCCCTGATCCCAGAAGTGAAGCTGCCCGAGTTCGAGACACCACAATTTTTGAAGGACCTATTCTCTGGAGAAGGTGCAGGCGGCGAGGGCAGTGGTAACGGTGGCAGGTCCGGAAGCTCAGGGAAGAAGCAGCCAGATGGGGATGACGCCACGGCGCTGGCTGCCATGTTGGCTGCTACAACACTTTCCGCTTCGGACTCGAAAGCGAACGGCAAGGATGATGGGACATCCGCAGACGCACGGCAGAACGGTCTCATGCACCTCACAAAGAAACTCATTGAAATCAGGAGTATGTTAATCAGCATCGACCAGAGTGACGCACTCAAGCTACCGAGCATCGTTGTAATCGGCAGCCAAAGCTCAGGCAAGAGCTCGGTCCTTGAGGCAATTGTCGGGCACGAGTTCCTTCCTAAGTACGTACGGCCACGCCAATCATTCGAAATAATGCTAACACTCTCGCAGAGGAACCAACATGGTTACTCGCCGTCCGATCGAACTGACCCTCATTCACACGCCTGGCGCTGCGGAGGAGTACGGGGAATTCCCTGCTCTCGGACTTGGCAAGATCACGGACTTCTCCAACATTCAGAGGACGTTGACTGACCTCAACCTTGCCGTGCCCGCCTCGGAAGCCGTCTCAAACGACCCCATTGACCTGCGGATATACAGTCCGCGTGTTCCAGACTTGACGCTGATCGACCTCCCCGGTTACGTCCAGATCGCGTCGATGGACCAGCCTGAATCGCTGAAGGAGAAGATTGCGGGCCTCTGCGAGCGGTACATCCGTGAACCGAACATCATCCTGGCGGTCTGCGCGGCGGACGTTGACCTGGCCAACTCGCCCGCGCTACGTGCAAGCAGGAAAGTCGACCCACTCGGCCTGCGTACCATTGGAGTCGTGACGAAGATGGACCTTGTTCCACCAACACAAGGTGCTGAGATCCTCGCAGGCAACCGCTACCCTCTCCATCTCGGTTACGTCGGCGTCGTCTGCAAACCGCCAGGCAAGAAGCCGCGCAACGAGTCGAGCGCGCTCGTCGCGAGACAAGCTGAAAGCGACTACTTCGGTGCACATCGCGAGCAGTTCGGCAACAAGTCGAGCCTCATGGTTGGCACGGACACGCTACGGCGCCGGCTCATGGAGGTGCTCGAGTCGAGCATGGCGTCGTCGCTACACGGCATCACGAACGCGGTGCAACTCGAGATGGAGGAGGCGCAGTATCAGTTCAAGGTGCAGTACAACGACCGCCGCATCACCGCCGAATCATACGTTGCGGAAACGATGGACGCGCTCAAGGCGCGCTTCCGCGAGTTTACTGGACAGTTCCGCAAGCCGCACGTCCGCACGAAGCTCAAGGCGATGCTCGACGAAAAGGTGCTCAACGTCCTCGAACAACTCTACTGGTCAGACAAGCGGACGCCCGAGCTCACCGCGATCGCGGCGGACCCGAAGGTGAAACCAGAGAACGTGGAGCCGTACTGGCGGTACAAACTCGAGGCTGCCTCGTCGCTGCTCACCAAGTCAGGCGTCGGACGCGACGCGACTCTCCTTGTCGCAGATGGCCTCCGTGCGCTCATCGACTCCATCGCGGCGGGCGAACCGTTCACGTACCACCCGCGCGCGGCGGAGCGGCTCATTCAGTTCTCGCACATGCTCCTGCGCGACCGCATCGGGATCACGGCGGACCAGGTGGAGAACTGCATCAAGCCGTACAAGTACGAGGTCGAGGTCGAGGCGCGCGAGTGGGAGCTCGGGCGCACGCAGGCGGTGGAGCTGTTCGAGAGCGAGATGCGGATGTGCGAGGACAAGCTGAAGGATATCAGGAAGCGCGTGGGCGGCAGCCGTCGCTTGACAAGCCTGATGACGTACGTGAAGGGGATAGAGGAGAAGGAGAGCGAGAGGAGGCGGAAGCGGTTAAGCGGGGTAGAGGAGGGTGACGCACCGGATCTCAATGGAGACGACTACCGTTACCCGCAGGGACAAGTCCTCGATGGTGAGTCCACCTGTATGCGCTGACCCATGTAAGGTGCTGACGCGCTGATAGGCCGACATGCTATTCTTTGCTCTGACAGGCTGAGCATCCTCAAGCTCCGGCTTGCGGCACTCAAGTCGAAGCGATGCAAGGGCGGCCCGGAGAACGACGTCTTCTGCCCAGAGATCTTCCTCAACGCTGTAGCAGACAAGCTGGCTTACACGTCAGCTATGTTCATCAACATCGAGCTCCTCGATCATTTCTTCTACCAGGTATGTTGCGGTTGGCATGTCCCTCTCACCATACGCTGAGCGGATCCTTGTAGTTCCCCCGCGAAATCGACTCGCGCCTCCTCTACGACCTCGATCGCCGAGAAATTGTCGAGTTCGCTCGGGAGAATCCCGCCGTAAGGCAGCATCTTGATCTCCAGGAGCGCAAAGACAAACTCGAGGAGGTAAGTCCGCGCTTGCGTGCCCAGATCTCGGACAGTACTCATTCGCTGCCATAGGTCATGAAACAGCTGAACAGCTTGGCCACCCTACGGCCAGATGTCCAGCCCACCCCACGTCGAGCACGCGGCCTGTTTGGCAGTATGTTCGACTAGATAATCTTGCGCCTTCGCTCATTCTCGGATTTGGATACCAGTACTTACTGTAATCACGACTGGGTTCGTCGCGTATGCTATCTCCAGCTCAAGCTCAATCATGTCATACATTAGTGTTCCTTCCGGATAAAAAACAACATGGATATACAACGGATAGATAGGACAGGAGAGGCGTCTACAACTTGGCCTTTGTCTTGGCCGCCTGTATAGAGGGAGGGTAAGTCACTGGGCATAAGGTTGGGGAGGCGGGGCTTGCCTTCAGCACTCCGTCCAATTTCGTGGCGAACATCATGTTGCCCTTCGTCTTGAGCTTGCCTGTCATGAAAGCCTTCTGTCCGTCGAGCTGTAGAGCCCAATCCGTGAGCAGTCGTCCTGACAGCACATGCGAGACGGGACGCACCTTGCCGTCAGCTAGTTGCTGGAACGTCTCGTCGGACATGATGAGGGTCACGTTCGGCTTCGTCTTCGCCGCGCCCTTGTACACCGATCCTGTCGACTTCATGTCGATGGTCCAGACGCCCTCCTTGCCCTCCGCGTTCTTCACGCGCAGCTCGAAGATGCCGTTCGTCTGTGGGTCGCGTGCGGTCAGCTCTGGGTGCAGCAGCGCGACGTGCGACGAGGACGCACCTTCTTGATCTGTGCCTTCTTCTCCTCGTCATTGTAGCCGTTGAAGACGGTCGCGAGCGCTGCGAGTGTCTCGGACGACTGGTTCCTCGTGAATCCTACTGGTACCACGTTCGTGTGGACACTATCCTACCTTGAAACCCAGTTCCTTGATGTCAGACATGGTGATTTACGTAGTTCACGATGAAAAGGGAGAGATGGGATAGTCGGAGAAGCGTCAGAGATGCTGGCAAGGAGGAGGGGGGAAGCTGGAGATGGGGAGATGCTTCCCCAGCTGAACTTATGATGCTGGGAGCTGAACAGCGCGCTCGGACTCACCGACTGGTCCGATGCATGTGATAAACGCGCTCATAGATGCAATCGGGCATCCTCAGTGCTCACTGAGAGTCAGACCAGCTCACATTTGATACGAGTAGTTTCAGACGAGGAGTGCAACGACACCATGATGTGTTGTGTCAAGCAATCTCTGGCTGCGGTAGCCCCGCTAGACACATTCAGAAATGCGTAGGCAATGCGTAGGTCGAGTACGTATAATCCTTTCCGATGGACAATATCATGCGCCAGTCCCATAAGGACTGAGTCTGTCGTCCGTGCGATGAGACGTAAGCCTACGCCTGCTTTACGTCTTCATCGTACTATGTCAATGTAGCCGCATTGACACGAGCACGATTGACGCGGCAGCCGTGGCCCCATCGCCTGCTGTCGAAGGAAACTCCAATGGAAGGGCGGGCGATACACCTGATAAATCATGAACAGAGTCGCAGTCTATGTAGGACATACTTACCTTGAAGACACCTCGAGCTGAAGCTGTGTCATGATCAGTGCCGCCGGACGGGACGTTCACCAGAGCGCCGGTCTATCATTGACTCTCCGGCCGGCGTCCTGACCGCCCTTGGTGAAGTATCTCGTCCAATTTGCCCGCCACCTCCTGCTTCAACGTGTCCTTCTCTGCTTGAACATCCCGCATTTCCGCATCCCTACGATTTGCGATTTGCGACTCGTCGGACAGTAATAGCAGCAGCTTCATGGAGTGGATGATGGACAGCAGAGAATGTGCTGCCCGGATCTAAGAGCTCTGGGATTCAGCAAAAGATACAAACCAACTACATGCTAACTCACCATTGACTCTGCTCGGCATTCAGCCTGGTAGGACTCTTGCGCTATTCTGAACTTGTCCTTGTCTCCGATCTGTTCCAACTAAGCACAAGTCCCGGGGCAACAAGGCATCCCACTCACCGAAGCCAGCCCGACAAGGTCGACCATTCCGTCCACCAGTGTGTCGACCTCAACGTCGACTTTCTTGTTCCACTCCTCCTCTATGGCATCCAGGTACTCGTTCGAGTTCTGGTCGACGAGCGGCTGAATCGGGCGCTGGAGGAGGTTGGCTGTGGGCAGCGCAGAGGGACGAGAAACATCGCTTTGTGGTATAGCGTCCGCCATGGTGGAGGTTCAGTATCAGCCACAGTGGCTGGACGGTGGTGGTCAGTGCGTTCGAAGCGGGCCGAGAATCCCAACGCGTCTGTGGCGTGGACCCGGGCCACTCGCGCGGTCGACCGTGTTTGACTTGTCAACGCCGTGTACGCGCCTCGCACTCGTACTCTTGCGACTTTATTGCTTGATAGTGCCCGCTGCTGTCTGTTATCTGGGCGTACATTCCAGGCCCTGCATATCCACCGCTGAAAGCTTTTCATTCTGCAATGCGCCTCCAAACTCTGGTCCCCTCGCCTCCCCAGACCCTGCTCGACGCGTTGGCGCAGGTCGGAATCCGCACAGACACGGATCTGCTCTTCTCAGCGACCCCTGTCGACATCTTCAGAAAGCTTCCATCCGGTACTCTGAGTCTACATGATTTTCACTCATTCGTCGCGCAAGTAACGCGACAAGCGGCGGCACCAGCCGTCTGCGGAGACGTGCTCTTCGAACAAGGGAAGAGAAGGGAAGAGAGCGATCTCTACAGTGAGCCCACTACGGGGGTGCGACAGCTTGACCAGCTGCTGGGCGGACTTGCACCTCCGCGCGTCATTGAGGTCTCGGGAGACAGAGGGTCCGGCAAGTCGGTATGTATGCTGTTGCAGCGAAACGTGCTACTGAGCCGACGTGTGGACACCGTCTACAGTCCTTTGCGCTTCAGTCGTGTTGCGACATCTTTCTTCTGACCACAACCTCGGAGCGCTGTGGATCGATACCACAGGGGAGTTCTCTGCCGACCGTATACCTCCTCTTCTCGAGTCCTATGAGGGCTGTGTAAGATGCCAGTCTTCTCGGTCCACGCAACGAGTCCTAAGCTGTGGGTTATAGGCGGTGTCTACTACTCTAGAACGGCTACAAGTCGCGCTCGCCTTCGACATCGAGACAGCCCAAGACGTGTTAGAAATGATTCGGACGACCCTGAGCGTGAGTTGCACGCCCTCCGTACGCAGGGTACTGCTGAGACCATCCGACGTAGACACATCCCGACGCTCCGCCCGTCGTGCGCTGCGTAGTTGTAGACACTGTCACCGCACTACTCAGTCCCCTACTGAGCGCGGTTTCCTCCCAAGGTATCTCTGCGCACTGTGCTCCGTCGTAAGCTCACCTTCGTTTGGAATATAGGCCATGCCATCATGACCACATTCATGCGCCAGCTCCAAACCCTCGCCCAATCCTTCTCCCTGACCATCCTCGTGAGTCCATCTGGTTTCCCGGGCACCATCCGACCAATCACCTCCCTCCTCGCAGGTTATCAACTCGTCTACACGGTGCACGCCTCGCAACCCCGACTCCGTCTTCGCCACAACCGACAGAAAGCCCGCGCTCGGGCCGTCATTCACTTTCCTAACAGATACGACGCTCTGGCTCGCAAGACACGACACCGCTGAAGACGGGAGTGCGACGCACGTCGCGGAAATCTTCCGATCAAGGATGGTAGTGCGTCTCTCCACAGTGGATGTGTCCTATTCAGTTGGGCTGACATCGATGTAGCCTTCTCGGTCATGGTGCACATTCAAGATTCGACGCGGTATACTGTCAGACACGTAGTGCAGGTGACGGAACCTACGAGCCAGGGCCACTATGCTCCTATCAACGGCGAGCGACTGTCCGCAGGTTGTACACCAGGTTGGTGCTCCTATGGACGACACCCGATGCTCAGGGCGATACGAGGGTGACCTTCGTCAGGCGTAACTTCAAAATCGAAGCCCGGTCGTGTCTTGTGGTCAGACCGACAACTGCAGTCATAACCCTGCTGTCTCGAAGCATAGCTAAGGCATAGCTCAGTCAAGAGCGTCCATGACACTAGATGTACAATACTCAAACACTGCACGCAATATGTATACTTACTATAGATCATCGAACCTGCACCCAATGCATTCATTAGTATAAGCCTTCTGCGAGAGACAGCCACACCACCTACCTATCCGGCATGATGACCGGCGCAAGCAGGCTCCACATGTACAGGACCATGCAGACCCAGCTCGACACGACGCGGACCCACATGGCGATCTCCGAGCGGCCGATGTAGACGTCGTCGTCGGGGCCGGGCTCGGTCTTGACCACGTTCCTGCGATGCAATTGATTAGCTCTGAGGAGATGCAGTACTGAAGGATAAGCGTACCAGTCTGTCAGCAGGACGGCGACATACATCGCGCCCATGGCGAAGATGATATGGAACCAAGAGTACTGCAGAGATAGTATCATCAGAGTAGGCATCGTGAGAAAAGCAGCGAAGGCGTACGTTGTATCGTGTGCCGGTGCGTTCGTCGTCTCGGGTCTCTCCGACAACCTCATCTTCGTCCTCTTCCTCGTCTTCATCGAGTGCAGAAGCGGGGATAGCACTAGAACGCTGGGTCAGCTGTCATGTGAACAAGCAGAAATATTATACCCACCCTGCCTCCACAGCTGCCAACAAGGCCTGATACCTAGGAGACTCCGTACGGCCCGGCTGAGTGTTCACGACGCCCATCTCCGCATGCCCGTCATCATTCGAGAGTTCGATGGCACCCTTCTTGTTGTTGCCAACCAGCGCACGGCTCTGCGTCGCCGCCCTGCTGGTTGAGTAGGCAATAGCCAGGAAGGTGAACAGGGCGCCGAGCACGACAGTGGTGTTCTTTGCTCCCTCGCCGACGCCGCCCTTCCTCAGCGGGTTGCACGTCTCATGCGTGTGGTTGCCGACGGCGGATGTGATGAGGTAGGTGCAGTACGCAGCAACCATGCTCGCCTGCGCGAGGCCGCTGCGGGGGTTGTGCTCCTGCACGACCGGATGCACGCACACGATCGTGATGAGGATGCAGAGCGCGAGGTTGAACGAGATGAAGAACCGGTTGAGCGTGCAGCCGCTGTCCGCGAAGAACGCATAGAGCACGCTCGTCAGCGTGATAGCAGCGACGTACATACCCGCCGTGCTCCCGATCAGAACCCACTGCCACAGATTCGAGTTGGAGTTCTCCCAGTTTTCGAGGCAGGTCTCGGACCAGGAGTGCGCAAAGTCGACGAGGAGAACGAGGCCGAGGAGAATGAAGATAGTCGCGCCGATGAGGGCGACGTAGTTGCCCCAGAACATGAAGAAGCCGTTCGGGATGAAGAAGGACGCGACCACGAGGACAAGCCAGAGGAAGACTTTCGGGCCCCACCAGCCGTTCTGAATGGACGCACGCTTGTCTTTGGTGTCCTTCACGCCGACAAGGGAGGCACCGAGGATGAAATGGAAGAGCGAAAGAGCGAAGCATATCCGGTGGACCTGCAATTCAACGCCATCGCTGAGTACGACCGCACCCACAGTCAAGGAGTGGACATTAAGCACGTACCGCCAGTACACCATAACATCGACCGCCGTCGCAGTCCATCTCCAAGTAGCCATGACTCCATCTCTCGATGGTTTGAATCGCGAGTGGTGTCTTCATGAGCCATGCGAACATTGAGTTCAGGCAAAAGATGATCTAGACGTACAGGTGTCGTATCAGGCTCACAAGACTAGCAAGTCCACGGATATGTACATACCGCAAAACCAACCCGCGTTGCGATGGAGGAGTTACAATTACATGACTTGAAGAACATCGACGCTACACGTACGACGTTAGCTCTTGAACCGCATTCAAGGTACCAACTCGACTAACCAGCCGTCGAAGTGAAACAGAAGGCGAGACCGCCTATACATGATGTAGCGACGGTCCCCAGGATACCCGTGAAGGGCAGGGATAACAAGAGGCCCATGATGTGAATGAGTGAGTGAGTGTAAGTGCACAGTCGGCGCACAGGTCCGGTTATGGCGCAGCGGTCCATTACGTAAGCGTCTCGCCCTGTCCGAAACTAGCCGCGCCGAGCAGTTGCCATTTCGAGCCCATTATTCTGCATCCGGACGCGATGTGGACCCACAAAAGCCCATGAGGTGATCTACAAGCGATTGATTGGCCCGAGCGCATCGATATGGCGGAAAATCTCCTCTCCCGTGGACTGCCCCGGATTTGGGTCGTGTGCCACTCCCGCCCGCGCGTATATAGGAAGCAGCTATCCGCACCTTCGCCCAGTCCGTCTCTCTTCTCATCCCATCATCTCCCTTTCCTCTGATCCCCCCTCCGTGTCATGTCATTCGGGGCCAATTCGGGGCGTGCCTTTGTCTTGTACTCGTAGCTGCTACGGGATATGAGGTCCCCGCTTACTGACCTCGCCGTGTAGTGAGCCACTCAGGCTGCGGGCCCCCGAATTGTACGCCACCAACACCACTCGTCAAGGTATGTTATACTCCTCGGTCAAGGACTTCATCCTGACGTTGCCTGGTGTTGCCTCACACTCGTCCGTCAGCCGCAAGTTCTGTCCGATGTTCGCCGCCACACTCGCTGCCAGCCTCCGCCACTCCCGGCCACCAGACAGCCTCAAGGTGGTCCACTTAAGAGCGTGTCGCTGGGCCTGTTCTCTATTGCTTCTTGTTCTCTCTTGCTTGTCTGTACTCTGCATGTTCGCCTGTGCCATATGTCCTGCCTAGTATACGCTGAGCTGATTGTTGGGATCACCGCAAGCCTATGTGATTCTGTGAGTGGTGAGCAGGTCTTCTTTCATCGTCGTCGCTCATATACCAATTCTCTACGTAGTCAAGTCTTCTGAGGCAAGACCGGGTCGTCAAGCGCTGCAACTCCGCTGCTTCAAGGCGTTGCTTGAGGCCACCTCTCGGTCTCAGCTCGTCTCCTTGTTGGTATGTGATCCGGCTGTTCACTCCGTTGCTCCTTGCTAACGTCGGTCGCGTCAGTTGGTTCAAAGGTCAAGCGCTGCAAGCATACTGCCTCCAGTGGGTGTCCGATGTCAAACGCCGCAACATAGGCTGCGTCAAGGCGGGGGGTGAAGCTGATGCAAGGGTCAAGCGCTGCAAGTTGAGCTGCCTCCAGTACAAGCTCTTTAAGGGTCAAGCGCCGGAAGCAGGGGCTGCCTCAACGAGGCCATCGTGAAGCGCCGCAAGGTTGGCAGCCTCAAATTGTGGCGGGCGACGACGGCAAGGGTCAAGCGCTGCAAGCGGGGCTGCGTCAACATGAGTTTCAAGCGCCCCAAACGGGCTGATTCAAGTCGGGGCGGGGATCGTCAAGCGCCAAGCGGGCTGCCTCAAGACGGGCCGTCGTCAAGCGCTGCAAGTCTAGCTGCGTCAACTTCAACCTGAAGCCAAGGGTCAAGCGCCGCAAGGAGGGAGGCTGCCTCAAGAGCTGCAAGACGAGCTGCATCAACCCCAAGGTCCGTCAACAGTCAAGCGCCGGAAGCGAGGGCTGCGTCAAGGAGTGGGCCATCCGGGTCGTCAAGCGCTGCAAGTTGAGCTGCGTCAATAGCGACGTCAAGGGTCAATCGCCGGAAGCGGGGGCTGCGTCAACGGGGGTCCCTGGCCATCGTCAAGCGCCGCAAGCGAGGCTGCAGCAAGAGCCTTCAAGAGGCCCTCGAGGGCGGGCGGACGCTTGCACTTGTGCGGCGACCGTCCGGGCGCGGACCTTTACGTGGTCCTCGGGATAAGTACCCTCGTGCCGCTTCATGCGCGCGAGGGGAAACCAACTCGCGCCGAACTCATTTAAGTATCCATTTGAATCGTCGCTGCAGAACGATGTTACGTCTTCCGGAGAGTATGACCACTGCTCGTTGTTATTGTCGTTTATACGCCCTCTCGGGTCCGCGCCGCTCCGTGTTGTGCAGTACAGTGTGAATGGGCGCGTACTACGCTTCGCATACCATCTTCTGTTCTTACCAGTCTTTCGCAGTCTCGCCGGCGGCGAGTCGCATACCCACCCATGAGCGGCCCTGTTCTCGTAGTCATGTACCTTTAGCTACTGTCAACAATACACCACACTCTTGCCTGTTGATTGAATCGTACGTGTAGCAGACAAAACGTTCCGCGAGGAAGACAACCACGCAACGCGTCCCGAGTGCAACCCAGTAGGCTGGGATAGATCTCAGGTGTCGACCTATGTCCCGTAGGAACTGCGAGTGCCCGTGGTCTACTGACATTGTACATTCACCGCGTATTCATACACACTGACGACCTGTCAGGCTTTTTCGTAGTCTCCGACATGTGCGGCGCAAGAAACGATGTCTCAGATGATCGAAGCGTGAAGTGGGATGCATACGGCTCAAATGGGGGAGGTCGAGGGAGGCGTCCTGAACAGGGGATAGGGAAGGTGGGGATAGAACGATGGTCCGCGCTTTGAAGGAGAATAGCGACAGGGAATCAATCTCTGCTACCCCAGCTTACTGCCAAGTTCAAACGACCTAGTGAGGTCTTGCATGGTGAATGTAGGCGACAGGCCTGCCTTGACATTGGAGGACGGATGGTGAAGACTCGATGACATAGGCCGTTTGTGTGCAGACAGGGGAGACTCAGCCAGTCCCTTGCAAGTGTATTGCACTCGTACGAGCTGCACACCCTGTGATGGAGAGACCGAGTGAATATATAGGGGATTTGTTCGTGACGATCCCTCAGCATAGTACAAGAACGATAGCTTACACCCAACCATGCAATCCCATAACCCAATGTCCAAATGCTCCCCAGCGTATCGGAGATCATCTCCTGCTATCCTTCTTGAAAAATGGCTGTTAACCGCTGTCGCCTGGATCATGTCGAATATCGTCTCCCCGACACCGAGGTACCGGTCTGCTATCGAGCGCATTGTAGGGTCGGGGATGATGCCCTCTGTATCAGGTCTACACAGAGAGTTCAGTCGGGGGCACTCGCAGAGAAGGCCTTGCAACACACCTGAATCCTGCTGATCGCCTGACCCCCGCTACGACGGTCGACAACAGGACCGCGTCTACTGCGTAGTGGAAGATTCTGCCGAGGGCCATGCTGGTAACGATATGTGCAGACGGCTCGGAGGGTGCGATCGCAAGAGGAGCGGTGAACGTTGGGATACGAAGCGACGAGCAGGGGTTATGTGCGCGGTCGGCGGATGTGTGGCCCAGTGACAGTGGGAGCGACGAATATGGTCGGCCGCGAGCCGTGTCGGTAGCCACGTGGACGAGTCGTACTTACACCTGCCTGGTGCCAGCGCTTTTGCACTGCGTTCCTCCGTCTCCTGTCTCTTCTCAGTCGTCCCGAGCGTCGTTTGTCCGCTAGGGCACTTCTGCTACATATGGTCCACCTACTCCGTTTTGAGCCTGAGGGACCTCTGCCATTATTCGGTTCAATGCTGCACTGTCCAGTTCGATCACGATCGACCCGACTTTCTGGCGAAGCCTCGACTCTGACGCGGTTAACTGCTCTGTTTGCCCCTTGACACCCCCTCAGCTGCTCCAGAATGCTTGCCCGTACAAAGCATCCTCATATTGCGAACATGTCGAGTCAGTTCGCGCTGATTTCTCGCTGCACCTCGCTCAAACGTAGACGTTGGTAGCTCATCGTGTGCGCCCTCGTTTTACTACTTGATGCGGATTCGCTAGGAGATGAATTTTAACTCTGGTACATATACTCACGTCGTTGAGCGGTTCATCGGCGTCCGCCAGATTACGGCTTTGCATATCGCTCGCCTCGGAATCTGTTTGCGCCAAACGGTGCTGGGCCGAAATTCTGTCACCTCATACCGGCCGCTCGAGAGCGACCTGACACGGCGAGACTGGCCGACTCGACTTCTGTCCCGTCAATTTACTACAGGTGAGAGTGCTTCTCATAATCGCATTGTACTCGTCCCCGGCCTCGCCCATTATGCTTACTCGGTCAGGCCAAGGATCACTCGGCTTTCGTGTTGGAGTCTGGCATGGTCTAGATCACTAGTAATTCCCGAATGCCCTGTCCCGAGACCTGTCTCCCTTGGTGCAAGTACTGGACTCGTCAAACTCTTCGTATCGTTATATGCGGCTCTCTTCGGCTCACGGACCGATGTCATCGGCCATTCCAGCGATCGTAACGTTTCGATACTCATCCCAGTATCCCAGCTCCAAGCTCTAGATTCCACCCTGTGCCAGGCAAAGGACGCCGACATTGCTTCCTCGTCGCTCAACTGGCTGACTCGGGTTCTGGCTAGCCCGCCTTCGACCGGCTGTCCATGTCTAGCCTCCAACCTAACGGAGGCGCGTCAGCCGCCTCGGACTCATACGTCAATCCGCCCTAGAAGCGACTGGTGGCTGGCCCAGGAGCGATTGGAGGCTGACCCAAGACCGTATATAACATGCATTCGCTGACCACCTCCAGGATCAGCAGCCTCTCCTCACCTGCATCACCTCTCACGCCATTTGCCCAACACTTTCAACGCCTCCCGACGTCGTTAAGTCCAAGCAATGGCAGGCAATCAGGCAGTGTCGGAGAATCCGCCCTACGCTCAGGAGCACCTCTCGACCAATGGCTCGGATTGGTTGTGGACTGTGTTTTCTATCATGGCTCTCGGCACTCTGCTGACTGCTGGTGCGGCGATTATGGTACGTGGTATCCGGTCAGGGTTGCGCATGCGTCTGACCACCTATCGTAGAGGCCCCGCGGCACGCGTTTCTTCCACCAGTTGGCGGTCATCATCCTCACGACTTCCAGTATTGCCTACTTCTCCATGGCATCTGACCTGGGTGCGACGCCCATCACTGCCGAGTTCCGTGGCAATGAGACTCGCCAGATCTGGGTACGTACTACTTTGTGCTCTCCACTGCCACACCACGGTCTGACCGCGACGACCTGCAGTATGTTCGCTACATCCAGTGGTTCATCAACTTCCCCACTCTCCTGCTTGCCATGCTGCTGGCGACTAGCCTACCCCTGTCGGACATCGTGACTACGCTCTTCATGTCGCTCGTCATCGTCGTCAGCGGCCTCGTCGGTGCGCTCGTGCACAGCACTTATAAGTGGGGTTATTACACCTTCGGTGTCGTCGCTCTGTTCTACATCTGGTACGTCACGAAGCTCTCGAGAATCTGTAAAGTCACTTACATTCTCGCCTGGCTTAGGTACGTCCTCCTCTGGCACGCCCCCGCCTCAAGCTTCGTCGCGGCGGTATCGTCCGTCGGGGCTACTACCTCGCCGCGGGATACTTCTCCTTCATGCTCATCACGTACCCCATTGCCTGGGCCTGCGCGGAAGGCGGGAATGTCATCACGGTCACCTCCGAGATGATCTGGTACGGCATCCTCGACCTCTTCACGGCCCGATCTTCCTGGCGCTCTTCCTCTGGCAGCTGCGCGACATCGACTACGAGGCGTTTGGCCACCGGTCTGGCATGTACGCCAACCAGAACGCGACGGCTGTGCGTGGCGAGAAGGTTGCTCCCCCAGTGGCGGCCGCCGCAACTGGCCCTGCTCCTGCCGCTGCACCAGCGCCTACTGCTGCCGCTCCTCAGCAGACTGTATGAGCACGTCAGGTCCATCCTCCCGTCCCATTTCACCATTCTCCCTGTTCCATCTCACCATTATCCCCGTCCTAATTCCCATCCTCCCTTTCCCACGGTGCACCTGTAGTCAAAGCCTATAGTAGTACGTAGTCATAGCGTATGAGTTCATCACACAAGTCAGAAGTGATACATACCGGCCATTGATCTTGCGTCGAGTACAACAAAACATCCACTGCGCCCAAAAAAATGAGCGAGTTTTGCACACTGCAGAAAGTAAGTACTTGGCGTCAAATGCGCACTTATCAGACGCCGACTCGCTGCAGCCACCACAGATGTTGCACAGATGTCTAGCCCGTCTTCAGCCTACTTCTTGACCACGTTCTCCTCAGCCTGGGCCGTCAACGGTCTCACCACTCGCTAATGGGGCAAAGCCCCCGAGTATGGATAACTTCCGTGGTTCTCACAGAGGATTCACTCAAGGCCACTGCAAGGCAATGGCAAGCCTAGGTGACACTGAGATGCGTGTCCCATGTCCACCCAGCTCGGCCGAGCACTAGCATTTCCGAATGCAATTCCGAATTTCTCGTGCGTAGAGTTTTCGTGCTACCTCACGTTGTTCGGAACAATAACATCAAGAAGTTCCGCTAGTCCAGTCATAGAACTCCTTGCCGACCTCCTGACTGGCGCGTGTCTGTGTACATCCCTCGCAAGCACCTCCTGCGCTGATACCGAGTACCTGCTCGCAAGTATAACGGACAAGACCCGGACGCCACTCGTGCACGTTCTCCCCTTTCCACAGATCTGTCATGACGGAGACCATAACGACCTCCATGGCCGCGCCCGGCCTGCCGCCCGGCTCGTCTACCGCGAAGGCGTCCGCATCCGGGATGAACTTCTCACTGGAGGTCGCACACTCAGATCTCCTCATCATTCGCGGCAACCAGCCGTTCAACGCGGAGCCCAAGGCGTCCGCACTCGTGCAGTTCCCCATCACACCTGAGGAGCTGGTGTACTGTCGAAACCACGGCCCAGTGCAGGAGTACGACTGGGACGACTTCGAGGTGAAGATCAGGGTCGGGGATGTGCAGGTTGACGGAGCGTCAGACGTTGTGGAGAAAGTCATCACAGCAAAGGACATCCGAGAGCAGTTCGAGAGGGTAAAGGTCGAGGCGGCTTTACAGGTGCGTCGTGTTTGCTCGTACCAGGCGACCATGGAAGTTAACGTGTCGGGCATGCAGTGCGCAGGAAACCGGCGCAAGGAGATGTCTACGCTCAAGCCCGTCGTGGGTGTGCTCTGGGATGACGGTGTTATCGCCAACTGCAAGTGGGCAGGTGCCCGTCTACGCGACGTGCTTGCTGCCGCCGGGCTTCCTAGAGATCTTCTCGACCGCGCGTCTGACATCGAAACCACGACCGGCCCTTCCGGGCTGTATGTTCGCTTCAACTCGAGCGTGACGCCAACTGAGAATGACGCTTACTATGGCGCGAGCATATCTTTGGACAAAGCGCTCTCGAATGATGCCCTGCTTGCGTATGAGGTGCGTTCCGCCACTCGTATCACGTACCTGCACACCGTAACATACTCATCGCGCTCTGATGTAGATGAACGATGCGCCGTTGAGTCCGGACCGTGGTGGGCCGTTGCGGGTAGTCGTTCCTGGTTACCTCGGCGCACGATGGGTTAAGTGGGTGGATGAGATTGAGATCTGCAGAGAGGAGAGTCCGAATTACTATCAGGCGAGGGATTATAAGGTGTTACCACCAGAGGTACGTCCACACGCTTCCCTTGGCAGAACGAAGTTGATATATGCGCTTCAGATCGAGAACAAGGAGCAGGCAAAGAACGCCTGGACGAAGTACCCTTCGATGACCACGCTCCCGCTCAACTCCGTCGTAGCCTCCATCACACGGCGGTCGCCTTCAGAACTCTTCGTGAAAGGCTATGCAATCGGGCGGGGCTCTGCCAAGGTGACCAATGTCGAGGTCACACTTGACGAAGGAGCAACCTGGATGCCTGCGAAGATAAGTAACC